TCATGGCTAACAAATGTTGTCTTCTTTCCCAGACCCAGTGTGATAACAGTAATTCTCAAGTGGTCTGCGGTCACTCTATCACGTCGCCAAAATGGTTGTTTTGTTTTCCAGATCATACTGAAAAAAAGGAACACAGACGGAATAATAAATTTGATGGCCAATACTTTGTCTGAGAGAAGTAAGAAACTGCCAAGAGGTAAAAATTATTTTGTTCACTCACCGAGTAAACTTCCGTTGACAAAGTTGCTGGATATTATCAACCAAGGCTTCACCAAAGCTGTCAGAGCTAAAACCTCAAAACTTGCAAAACACGCAATGTATAGAGACAGATGAACGCAAATAAGCAAATTAATTGTTCTTTGGGATTTTAGAATGATATATTGTTTTTTTTCACTACTGGCGACTTCTTGGTCGCCTTTAGTGAAGTCACGACCAGTAACGCGCATGTCAAATGAGACGAGTTACTGGATGTTGTCAGAGGCTGCCTTCCATATCAGATATCTATTGCGAGGAACTCATCTAATGAATGATAGCTTACCTCCATAAGCTTTATTCCTACAGAAAGGGGAGGAAAAAAGTACAAAAATAAAATTTAGGAGACGATCAGTAAAATATGTAGAGAATCTGGTCGCAATTGAGGTGGTCCAGGGTTCGATCATTTTCGTACCTAGAGCTCACGACCGAGAGCGTCGTTCGATGGCTAGACGTTGCTATGGAGGTATTGGCAATCTTAGCTGATATTTGAAGCTTATATTTTCACAGGAAAATCGCAAATGTGCTCATACTCGACAAGACGTGTATTCTAAAGATTTTGTTGGCCTATAACGATTTTGATATCATTATGCTCAAGACGAACTCAATTTTCGTACCACAAGCAACTTTGGATATTTCCTCTGCCAAGTTTACAAGTTGGTCGTATGATTCCGCGGTAATAACATTTTCTCGAGCGCCTGCAATTTCTATCAGCTCATCTTCATCGATATCTTCCTTATTCCCAACTGCCACAACATAAATCTTGATTCCTTTGTTTCGCAGAGGCTCAGACGCCTCCTGTAATGACTTGACACTGCTTTGTTGGCCTGTTTGTTTACCAGTGGTTAACAGAATCATAATCTGTGAATAAAACGACAAAAAAATATTAAAATGTTTCGTTTTCAAATAGCGCAGTAATTTTCATGATAACTTAAGAGTTATCTTTATAAAAGGAGATGGATAAACCCAACTTAAGTGACTAAAATGATCACAACGGCTGAAGTTTTCGCAACAGCAAACTCTGGAAAAATTTAGAGAGCCAGTATAATAACTCAAACCAGACATGAAAGGAAAACAGGATATAATTTATTGCGCGTGATTGAGAGTTTTTAGCCCACTGACCTTGCTGACATCGCTAGTAAAGCGTACCAAAAGAAATATAGAGATATAGCTTTCAATACTCCTTGTGCAAAATTTGCCTTATTTTTCTGGTTCTGCTGTAAAATTATTGCGCCGTGAGACTTTCTTGACAGACCTTTTTCATGTCACTTTTATTCACCCTCATTCCCGCCTCTGCAGTAAACAGTCTTTCATTCGCCAATTTTAGCGCCTTGTCAATGTAGCGGTCACCTCCGGTCGGCACTACTTTTTCGATGAGGTCTTTCACATTTTCCGGAGTTAGGCGGTCACCTTCAAAAGTTTTGAAGTCCATAACCAATTGTGCATCTGTGCTGTAGGTGATTAAACCAACATGGCTTTTTAGGCGGCCTATGTTGAAAAAGTCCACCAAAGAAGTGGTGAAGTCCAGAACCTGACAATCGAAAGAAAACGTGCACGTAGATGACGTAAAGCAATTTATAAAGTGTCGATCACGTGACTAGTTATCGCCCAGTCTTTCGTGAAATGCTCGACATAACACTTAGGCGCATCATTACTTGTTCTAGTCTTCCTGTACAAATTTTAAAAGGGAATAAATAAAAACAGAGCAGAAAATTTCTGAAAAAAAAAAAGAAAATTCATAGCCGCTCAAAAAATAAGACGGAGATAACCAAGACAATTCTTACAATGTGATAATTTATATAAACCGTATTTGATTATCAATTTGGGGCGAGAATTTTTGGGTAAAGGAATTGTACTTTACAAACCTCTCGCCATTTGCTGCTAGCCGTATCGGATGAGTCTAAAATGATTCCAAGATCTGTTGGCTCCGCACAAAGAATTTCTAAAACAAAACGATTTGTTGACTTTGACACGAACTCAGAAGTTGTTATTAGAATTAAGATTGTTCGTCAAGAGTAAGAATATGAAGAAAACACACATTATGGCCTAATTTACATAGAGTAGTCGTTAAGTCAACAATAATGCAAAGCAATGCAAGCATCATGTAATGCAGTAATTCTTTTTTCATTCAGAAATCAGTTTTATATTTTTCTTAGCCTTGTTATGGTGATCTTGGACCGAACCTAGACTGAACAATGATTAGGAACTTTGCATGTAGTGCTTTCAGGAAGAGCAGTGTTGAGCAACTTATGCCCGTGATACCTGTCAAACTTACTTGACAAGTGAACCAAAAGTTTGTAAGATAACATCACATCCCTTTCGAACGGAACCAGCTCCAGAGGCGAAAAGTCATGCGGTGTAAATCTGACGCGCTTTGCTCTAACAGACTATGGTCTAGCCATAACAATTTAAATGATCATTTAGGGGTTGGAAGCCAAGCGAAAAAGAAATTAATTGGTTGAAAACTCAGAAGAACGTAAAGGCCATGAAGAGAGATGAATTTCAAAGTGATTTTTGGCTCAAGTGAAGATCGATCACTGACTCAATCATTTAAACTGCTTTGTAAAACTGATCACATTTGCGCAAACACATAGATCCTAAGTCAGCTTACGTCACCGTTCATTTTGTCCTCAGTGTGAAGGCAAACGTTCAGTACGGGTTACAGTTCATATGCACTTAGAAGACATTGTTAATTTCTGTCCTTCAATTCCGGTGCAAGAAAAACAAACCTGCCCATGATAACATACCTTCTTGAGCAAGCGTTCCTGCTCTCGACGTGAACAAAACGCTGCAGATTAGAAGTAGTTTGGTGTAACGCATGATTTCTGATGCGGATTCACCGTGTACCACTTTGGACGACAAACATCTTTCGTTTGAGGTTATGCTTAGAGCGAACAGATTTGATAAAGTTTAATAACATTCCGTGACAAGTTGGTGACATCGACAATTTAACGCGTCATCGACTGTGAGAGAATTTCGCCGCCTAATAGCGGTTGATTTCATTAACAAACACATCGAACAAAAGTTGATTCAATTGAATGCTATAGGGGAGCACTTTTCGGCTCAGTCGGACGTATTGTTATCAGTGAACTGAAAGCCACATAAAGAGATAAACCCGAACCCCTTTAAGGCTTCAATTCAAGATAGAGTTTTAAATGTTCTTTTCCTCTGTTTCAACGCCCGCCGACTCAGGCGCAGTTACATCGCACTTTCCAGAAAATAAAACTTCTGATTGTGGAATGATTTCACTCTCAAATGGACTTTTTATGGCAAATCGTCTCAACATTTGAATTGAATCAGTAGTAAAATAGACCACCAACTTGAACCATGTGGCCCGAGAAGACTCGCTTTTTTGCCGTTCTGCTTTCCTTTCCCTTTTTTCCGCAAAACAGAGTTTCCCTGTCGCGCATTAATTATGTTTGCCGCGACGAAAATTCCTGCAAGTAGCATGCATATAAAAGGTGCACATTCAGGTACGTAATCTGTTCAAGGCTAGCAGGCCAAACCTCAGATCCTCTTTGGCACTTTAGGCAGTGGAAATTGCACACTCTGTTTACCGTTCAAGATATCGAAAACCATGCTCTGTTTAGTGGCACATACCAGTGTGTATGTGGGAGGTCGCTTAATTTATTAGTAATCCTATAATTGATACTTTTCTTAATTCTCATTGCTTGTCTGCATGATATCAGTTTAGATATGGTAAGGAGAAATTCTGTCATGGTCACTCACGGGAGTTAAAGAGTTCAGGGGTACTGGGGTGCAACTGATTCTCTCTTCGTCAAGTTGACTCATAGCCAATGACAATAAAAATCCTGGCATACTTCCTAACCCAAATGCTACAAAAAGCGCCTCCCTCTCTCTCCACCCACTGCTTCAGAGTTCAACCTACGACTTTCTCTAGTCTTCAGGACCAACTGGACGTTCCACGTTAATTTTCTAACGAGTATGTACAACTTATAATAACCGTGAGCCTACATCCTCTTTTCAGACCCTGTGCTTCAGCTAAGAACAAGCTATATGATTCCCCGCTTACTCCTGCTCCTGGCCTGGTTTCTTGGCTATGCAAAACATGCCAAACCGATTTTTTTACGGCCTGTCGTAGATGTTTTATCTAATACAATCAATTGGCACTGTTTATGCGCGGTTGTCACAGTATTGACACGTCCTCACGCTAATTACTTAGTATATTTTAAATTATAAATTAATCTATTTATTTATTTGTTTAATTTTTTTTGGAGGGGGGGGGGAGTAGGTGTGTCAGGGTTTGCGAGCTTAATGCCATTGATAATTTGGCTTTATCTTTTGATATTTGTTCAGCTGCATGTACCAAATATTTCAATTGGTCTTCGGAGTCAATTCATTTTAACGCAAATCTGACAGCTCCCTTAGAAAAATCCTTGATATCTCTCTTGGGACAGCTGTCATTTTAACTAACATCTTCGAGCTGTAGGAAGTATAATGCCCCTTGCTAGTCACACAGAAGCTGAAACCATCACACTGAAACTAGAACGATAGAAACACCGCGGTGATCGAAGACCTGCAGACGGCTCCACTCCATGACTACAGATTCAGTCAGTCAAGTATCATGTTACCTCACAAAGACCACTATTCTACTCTCGCGGCCTTGCCTGGCCTCAGTAAAAGCGGGATGAATTTGACAACATCCTGACCAAACTTCAGCGCTTTGGTTTCTACAAAGATCCTGGAAACATGGCTCCATTGAAGGCATTAACGACGGTATTTGTCTTCGGATTGCTTCTCGCAAGAATACGCGCCCGTGAGTAATGAATATTCATGACTGAAAATAATAACGCTATCGTATAAATTTTAGCTCACGCGAGATGTGTTAGACTTTAATTTGTGCAAGGATAAAGAAAAGAGTTTTGTGCTTAACAGAGGGGAATTTAAGTTTCTATTAAGAAACTTCCATCGAAATGAGTCATTATAATTTACTAATCCACGGATTTAGCGAAGGGTTATGGGCAAAGATTACAAAATTAATCGAAATCTGACCATCTTGGCAATTCTCCATTTAATAAAACCTTGCCCGTTCAAACTTTGAAATTGTAAAATATGACGATATTTTACAATACTTCTCGTTAGCTGACGAATACTTACATCATTCTATTCGATTTCTATGTTTTTTTTCTCCTGAATACCGTGTAACATGGAGTGTAATCTTTTTTAAACAACGAATCGATTGTAGTCGTTGACTTGAGCTACGGAAACTTCGCTTCGCTGAGAAATTTTGCGACGGCGCCGATCGCTAGAGTTATCAGTGAAAGGCAGATCTCACATATGTTACGATGTCATCGAACGCTTTGAAAATAAGGCAAGCATGTTGAATATGCATTATTTTGTGCGACCGTTCGTGGAAGGCATGACGTTTTGTTGAAAAAGATTGTGTGACATGGATTGTGTCACACAACACCCTATTTCGTAAATATTAATTTTCATCCGTCAGTTGTCATAAACAAAAAATATGTGTCAGGTAATGTTATTTGGCAAGGAATTAAGCATGATCCGCAAAATGAATAGGAATAGAAGAATCTGCCCCTCAAGACTTCAAATCCTGTTTCTTTCACGGAACTACCATTTTGAATCTATGATGTATAACAAATTTAAAGGGAACCAACAGACATGATAGCGGCTGGAACTCGTACTAGGACTTCCATAAGAGCCTCAGTTGAGAAAATAAATAAAGTATTGCGATTTTTTTCGATTAATTTATTATAAAGTAGACTCTTCCACTGGTGAGTAGGATATGGGATGCACTTTAGGGAAGTTTAGTCGCGGGGGGGTGACCTTCACAACCCCGCTATCATACTCGTTTCGTCTATTTGGTGCCACACTGGCCATATTTGGAACTGCTCCTCCTTCTTCCCCCCTCCCCTCCCCCGCTCCTCTAGAAGACTCGTTTAAAAGTTTTAGGTCTGCAATGAGCTATTTTTCTGTAAGCATTTCTTTTCACGAAGAACCATTATTAACATTGCAGAGTTTGTCTGCCCGAAAGTCACCAAATATGGTGCAGAATGCCCACTGGACGTTGACAATGAATGTGAATCAGACCAGGCATGTTCTGCTGGCCTCAAGTGCTGTCCTTCCATATTTGATGATGAAGCTTGTCAACTGCTCTGCTTAGAACCAGAACCTCAAAGTAAGATGTAACCTTTTTCATCTGTAGATTGGGTTTATTCTTTTATCTCGTACTCCGAAGGGAGTTTGTCACTGTTACTGCAGTTTAGTACTGTTTGATTAATAAAGTAAACACTTAATCTCGCCTATGTGGGACAGCTGAGCTCAATCCGAATACGACCGCGCACGCTCGCTAGCATTGCTTTAAGGGGAAAGGAAAAAAACATTTGACTCCCACCTCGTTGGGTGCGATTCTTTGCATGATTAAGATAGAAATCTTAGAAATCTCAACTCAACGGTGAAAATTGGCCGTAAAAGCTCCAGAAGAATCCCCTATGTGGTTGTAATCTTTTCCTCTTTCGTCCTTCAAGCCGCTTGCCCTGTTTCTGTGGACTTCGCCTTCATTTTGGACGGCTCAGGAAGTATCTCCAAAAAAAACTGGGGTCGAATTAAGGAGTTTGTCAAACGCATAGTGGACGCGTTCGACGTTTCTCCAGACGGCACCCACTTTGCACTGCTCGAGTACAGTACAGACCCTAAAGTTTACCTCAGATTTAACGATTTCGCCGATGCACAGCTCAATGATGTGAATGTCAAGCGAAAGGTGGAAGAAATCTTACAATCGAAAGGAAAAACATTCATTGATAAAGCTTTGGAGTTAGCAAATCAGGAAATTTTCACTACAGAAGGTGGCATGAGACCAGATGTCAAACAGGTTAGAGAAATTTACAGGAATCGTTTTAAGTTATAAGAATATGCTGGTAACAGCTTTCCTCAAGTTGAATAATGTCCATATCATTTGAACTTTTAAGAGAGAAAAATAGGAAATTTTACGAGAAGTCCAACGGTATAAACGCGTGAAACGTCTTGTCTCGCGGAAAGTGCGAATCACCAAGTCACGCAAATCTTAAGAAGAGACGAGCGAAAGTGCAGTGGTTGCCTGACGACCCTCGCTGCTCTTTCATGCGTTTGCTTTTTCCCTTGCAGAGATCCTTGCACGGGTTGAATAATTCAATCAAAACCAATGGCTGACCAAATCGCAATTCTTTTCGATTAGATTAGTTTAGAGCGCGGTGCGAGTTTTCTTCGCCAATCACGGAGCGAGGTATAGCAACACCAGAAATCTTAACAAGTTTTTGATACATTTAAAAATTGCGCATGCTGTATCACGCTTTTCCTCCCTGACCTTGATAGCTTACCATCATTTTATAGATTGCTCTGGTGGTCACAGACGGTACCCAGACCCCTGAGCCCAGTCCAATAGCATCAGAAGAAAACCTTATTGCTGCAGCCGAGAAGTTGCATGAGAAAGGAATTGATGTAATTGCGCTCGGCATCGGAAAGAACGTCAACCCCTTCCAGCTGCTAAACATAGCATCTGATGAAGACAACTTATACTCGGCAGAAGTCTTTGAAGAAATCTTGACTAGTGTCGTAGGAGAACTGACCAGGCGAGAGTGTCTAGGTAAGTTATAACATTGCGCTTCTACTTTTGTGTTCCTAATTGAACCGCTGTCAAAGATAACGCAGAGCTAGGAGGTGAAGGGTCTTCACCTCCTACTTCTATGACCAGAGATCGATTATTGAACTTGACAGGATCTTTCGTGAAACGGGCTCCATGAGTCCCGCCTCTCTGAAAGCCTGGTCGTTTCCGATCCCGAATTTCGCTTTTTCTTTTATTTAAGATTAAGTATTTTGGGGAATTTCAGTAGAGGCACTGATTCTTTCAAGGAGTTGGCCCGAGAAACTCGTAGAGAAACCCCTTGGAGCAACCAAAGTGCACGCGCGTAGTATCTCGTATATTTGATATAATTTCATCATAGATGATTTTGCTATAAAGATAGCTGGATCTGGCATAAATATGCTAAACTAACAAAAATAAAATGCATTTTTCTTTCAGCTTGTTCTGAGCCGGTTGATGTAGTATTTGGAATCCCAACTTCCCGATCTATTCCTGCGGACCAGTTTGAGAATATGAAGTATTTCGTGAATCAAACGATCGATTCATTCGATGTGGGTCCCTTGAAAGTACATGTTGGTCTTATTACGTACAGTTCCTCCGCGCAGATAACTTTGGCCATCAACCAACTGAATTCAAAAGAGAACCTTGAATCCTTTACGTCTAGTCTGAGTCAACAAGGGAATAGTGCCAACGTGGTCTCTGCACTGGATGAAGCCTACGGCAGTGCCTTCACCATGTATGGCGGTGTAAGACAGTCCAAACCTAAGGTGTTTGTACTTATTGTCCCAGAGGGTTCAGTTGGTGGTCAACAGGAGGTACTACAAGGCGCAGCGAGGCTTAAGAGCCTTGGAGTAAGGTTGCTTACTGTTGGAGTCGGGCAAAACATTGACCAAAACCTTTATGCGCTTGCGTCAACTCAGCCCTCTTCAAAGTTCTTCTATGGCGTTTCAGATCACAAGGAACTGATCGGGAAAAGCAGGGCTGTTGCTGATGTGCTTTGCAAAGGTTAAGGAATTTACTTCATTCTATGATTACTTTTTTTCCTCCTCGTGACTTGGTACTGGGTTGTTTTTAGGCAATAAATGAAAAAAATAGGACCAAGTTTATTCCACGCTCACTTTGTCATATACTCGTCGCTAGACTAAAGATTTCAGCTTTTAGAAAATCTTGTCGGAGTAAACCAAAGAATCAAACAAGATACACAGATAGATAGAAAGACAGGTAGAAAGGCACACACACACACACACACACACACACACACACAAAAAAACAATCAGACAAACAAACAAGCAAGAAAGCAAACGAAAAACGAATCGTCTTTGAATAGAGTGAAATCGTGAAAGAATCGTTTGTTGAGGTAGAGAAACACCAGAGAGACAAGATAAACTCCTTGAGGGAACAAGGATGGTTAACAATGGACCAGATGAGTCCTTGAAAGAGTGAGTAAGACAGAATTTCTCCTCATAATAACAATACAATGTCGGGCACACATCTGACGCGGTACCGGTCGTTTCGCTTACGGGTCGTTTCGCCTACCGTCTGTTCGCCTACGTCTAGGGTCGGTTCGCCTTCGTCTAATATGTCAGTTCGCTTACAATTCAAACTTCAAAGCTTTAAAACTGAATTGTTTAAAAGTTCTTGTTGAACCTCGCAGAAAAACTGAGTATTTAAGATGAAATAAACCACCGTTTACGGTCTTTCTGTTTACTTGTGACTCGAGCGGCCTATACTAAAGGAGGTGGAACTTTATAAATTAATCTTTTGACTGTTAGTTCATGCACTTTCACGCGATCCGCAAACTTAGGTAGATGAAAAAAATAGATACGGTGAGAATCGCCTGGTAGACAGTAAGGAGAATTACTGATGAGATCTTAAAAGTGAAAGGATTTTAACAGTGATTGCAAGTGACGAACTCAGAGATTAAGCTGGCAACATTTTATACAAATTGACATTAACCATTAACTCTCAGAAGTGATGAACATGTAACCTCTCTCTATGACATCCATACATTATCTTTGAAAACAGGTTTTCGTTACTAATTTAAACTTTGAAAACAAGTTCTCGTTACTAATTGAAACTTTGAAAACAAGTTCTCGTTACTAATTGAAACTTTGAAAACAAGTTCTCGTTACTAATTGAAACTTTGAAAACAAGTTCTCGTTACTAATTTAAACTTTGAAAACAAGTTCTCGTTACTAATTGAAACTTTGAAAACAAGTTCTCGTTACTAATTGAAACTTTGAAAACAAGTTCTCGTTACTAATTGAAACTTTGAAAACAAGTTCTCGTTACTAATTTAAACTTTGAAAACAAGTTCTCGTTACTAATTTAAACTTTGAAAACAAGTTCTCGTTACTGATTTACAAGAAAATGTGTAGCAGTTAGAAGGGAGAATTGACAATTAGATCTTGGGAATTAGGGTTATTTCTATAACATTGTATTCACAACGCGACAGCTTTCTCAACCTTAGCCTTGCACCGTCATCAAGCAAGGTAAATTTGGTTAGGAAGGAAGTCGTGACAAAGGGGGGTCTTCAATGCTCTTGATGGTTTTGTATTTTGCAGGCAAAGTTGGCAAATGTCCTCTACCCCCTCTACTGCCTTCACTGGGCTGTCCAAGAACTCTCAAGGAAGAATGTGAAGTCGATGCAGATTGTAACTCGGGTGGGGGGTCCCCACTGTGTTGCCCGAACAGCTGTGGTGGACGGCAATGTCTGGGGCAAATCAGAAGTATGGATTTAACGTAAACAAAATTTCAGATATCATAAGCATATCTACTTAGTTGTGTATCCTCCGGGAGCTAATCAAAGCTTCTATGGGATGAAGCGACTGGGATTAGTGTTACTTCTCTCTAGATGGGATATTACTTAGCCTGTTCCAGGCGTTCAGTCTCTAAAACGAAGCGCGATGGTCAACAATGTGAGTAGGAGTGAAGAGCCGAGGGAGGTCTGGGTTGGATTGCATAATAAACTTCGCAACTCGAACCAAACATCTCTCTTTTTTCTCTCAGCTGATATTGTTGGGCTGTTCGCTATTTCACTCCGTTTTACTCATTGAACGTCTGGAACACGCTATATCTTACTTCATCGGAGGGTCACTTCCCAGCGTTTTGTAAGATTTCCCTGACAGTTCGCAGATAGCCTTTTGTACTCCTGGGTTTTTTTTTGCGACAATTTTACAAGGAGCCTCTATTTGATGTACTCGACCCACTTTCTTTTGACTTACACTCGTAGACCCAGGTGACCATTGGAATGAATTAATTTAAATATTATTGTGGGGTCTAGGCTTCAGAATTAATTGTGTGTTTCATAAATGGTACTTTTAATTCCAACAGATTGCTTTGTTCCAATGGATGTTGCCATTGCGGTGGACAATTCCGACGCCACAACCAGCAGCGAATTCAACAACGTGAAACGATTTCTGAAGCAATTCATCAACCAACTTGCAAGTTCGGAGGTTCGGTTTTCCTTACTTGAATATGGCAACACTGCAAATGTAATTACAGATTTTCGCAGATTTTGGGACCAAATTTATCTGGAAAACCTCATAAATAATATAGCTAAACGCAATGACTCTGAACGCAGAGTGGACGCTGCTCTGAACACGACCAAAGAGGAGATTTTCAGCTTGGCAGGAGGAATTAGACATGGACATCCACGATACCTTGTCTTCGTAAGCTCCGGTGGCCCAACTGCGGAGTTCAAAGTTCTGGAGGGTGCTGGAAAAAAACTACGTGATTTGGGCGTGACCTTTGTTGCCATAGGAACAAATAGGGGCGTCCCAGGGGCTTTTATTCAAAAGCTAGCAGGCGACAGTCGTTTCATCTACAGAGCCGCGGAGCCGAGTCAATTGGGTGCCATAGTGTTAGAAGATTTGTCGCGAAAAATGTGTACAGGTTAGTGTAGGTATTAAATTTCCCCTGCGAGTCTTTATTCAGTAATTTTGCATCAATGCCTTCACGGAACTCTTCATGTGGCCAGAGATTTGTCTGTTTATCTGCTATTTGACATTTCCTCTCAGAGAAGCCTGGAAAATGTCCAGCAGTTGACGCGACCCCAGACCCACTTGCGTGCCAAGTGGAGCAGCCAGACCCGGAAGAGACCATAGTCTGTGGCTTGTCGGCAAACGGAAGTGGATTCTCGGAAAATTATGATTGGGACTGTCCTGGGGAGACGAAGTGCTGTTTGGATCCGCAAACCGGCTGCTTTCAAGTTTGCCTCGAGCCACAGAATGGTAAGTATTGATTTTAATGAAGAAAAAGGTTATTCAGTTATCACAAAAATGGGAGAAAGGATGAGTCTGAATCCCTCACGAGAGATCGAACTAAAGGCCTTTACTTTCTTTAATAATAAACCTGGCAAAATTCCGATTAATTCCGATTTGCTGTAAGAAATGCGGGTTTCACTAAAAGCCATGCAGAGGAAAGGCAGTATAGCACGGAAAAGTGTTAATTCAGTGCGGAAAAGGTGACAAACGGTGTAAATACTTAACAGACAAGTGGAAATGTTGTTATTTAATCGAACTAGGTTTTTTGACGGAACACATAATGGTTGAGTAATTTTTGCAAGTGATTCGCGAGCTTTGTTTCTGCGTAGTTTTAGCTGAAATCTTAAACCTTTTCTTCCATATTTTAATTTGATTAAGAGCAGCTTATTATTGTAATAACTTATTGTAATATTATTGTAATAACTTATTGTGATATTATTGTAATTACTTATTATTGTCCATATTTGTTTAATTTGTTCATGCCAGTTTGCAGCAAACAATTTGATCTGACGATAGCGATAGAAAATTCAGCTCGAATTGGCGAAGAACAGTTTGAGCAAGTAAAAGACTTCAGCAAGCAGTTCATCAATGCTTTTGATATCCGCGAGGGAGGGACGCATGTGGCGATTGTTAGCTATGGAACCACGCCAGTTGTTCATACTCGGCTTGATTCCTACAGTGGCTCTGTGCTCAATAAACGAACAATCACGGATGAAATCGACAAGATTGCCTTGGAGAGTGGGAATGCTGTGATAACAAACACTGCATTGACAGAGGTGTTCAAGACAGTTTATGGTGACGGAAATGGGGCACGGAATGGAACCAATAAGGTGATATGCTCTGGTGTTTGTGTCCTGAGGGGGAGGTGGAGGGGATGTGACCCTTATTTAACATACTTCTTGGTGCCTAACTCATGCCATGAGTATGACTCCCTTAAAATTATTATGAACAAACGGCAGAGAAACAAATAAGTCCCTTGTCTACAATTAGACAAGTGGTTGAGACAAAGAGAAAAAAAGTGGTCAGTTAGGTAACTTTAGATTCCTCCATCGCCACTAGTGTCCGATTTTGGACACAAGTGACCGATTTTAGACATGACTGTAGTGTCCGATTGTAGAGACTAGAGTCTGATTTTGGACTTAAGTGTTCGATTTTGGAAACTAGTATCTGACGCAAGTGTCCGATGTTAGACACCAGTGTCAGATTTCAGACACTAGTGTCCGATTTCAGTTATAAATTTTGGACTCTAGAGTTTGATTTTGGACACCAGAGTTTGACTTTAGATTTCAGACAATAGTGTGCGATGTTGGACACTAGTTTCCGATTTTAGACTCTAGTATCCGATTTTCGACAATAGTGCCCAATTTTGTAATACCTGTAATAGGTTGGTGGCGAGGATGTCGCAGTCGTTAGAGCCCTTACTTCTCGCTGCAGCGGCGAGAGGACCTGGTGTCAGATGTGGGTTGAGTTTGTTTTTGGTTCTCGTCCCAGCGCTGTGGGTCTTTTTTTCGGTTTCAACGGTTTTCCTTCCTCCACCAAAACCAACATTCCAAAATCCAATTCCACTTGGAAACTGTGGAGAAGAAGTGTCACCTCGTGGAATGTCCACCGCTAAATCCCACAGTTATTATAACTGTTAACATCTTGACTGCTATAATAACGGGAAAGTGACTGCAATACCCAACATGTTTGCCTAAAAATCCTACAAGGTGTCTCGTGAGTCTCCTAGCGACACGAGACGACAAAACGACACGCCGTGCCATACCAGCCAGGAACTATGTGTCGTTAGTATCTGATAATTTTTGTTGGATAGTGAAGGGTTAATACTAAAATGATATCTCTCCTTAGACAGTCGTTCTTATAACTGCGGGAAATCTGTCGGACCCCGTGGCGGCTGTCGATGCCGCTATCGATATCAGAGCCATGCCTGCTGACTTGTTTGTGATAGCGATCGGTGAAGACCCGGATTTGGACACTCTTGTTCAAATGGTGTCGCCACCAGCTGAAAACAACGTGTTTTTGGCGACCACCTCTGGCGGCTTACGACCCAGCTTGCGGGCAATTACGGACACAGTCTGTGAAGGAGGTAGGATAGAAATATTCCAAATGTTTAGAATAATTTTTCGTTTACCACTAAAAACAATCCTTCTTGGCATTCCCTTTGTTTCGCCATGATCTATCAGTTGCGTTGAAACTCGCTCCGTTTTTTTTACCGATCAGATGCAACACTGAGTCCGTTCGCGACATGGTTACAAGCGTTTTCCCGCGCTTCAAGCAATTCGTTTGTTCCTTTTCTCATTGGTTCATAATAGGTATTATGTTTTTGCTGACTGGCAGCTTTGCTTACGATGGTTTTGCTCTTACAACACGCTTACTTGACGGAGGTTGAGTGCTCTAGTTGCTGTGTAAATTTTTTTCTCAGCGGTAGACAATAAAGGGAAGTGTACATCATCGTTTTTGTAAGGCTGTCATTCCGCATCAGTTACTTTGCGGTCTGTTCAGGTCCACTTTCGATGTTTAAAGGAGAATAATCAATTTTCTTTAACATAGACTTTTAATTTTCTCTCCTTCTGGTTTTCCTCTTTCAGCTGAGAAAATGTCAACGGTAAGTACACAGTGTGTATTTCTTCTGTCGAATCAATGTCTGCTGATTTTCATCTTTAATCTTTCGCTGGGAATTCGTGACAGACAGAGTGTCAATGTTACGTTTCAAAACGATAAGTAACGCTAACGCCTCTGTAATGCTCTTCACGATTGTTCACAGGTGAGTGCTTAATTCTGTTACAGTGGTATATAAATGTTTTTTTGGCTTTGAATTGACCGAAATATTTTAGCTATACTTTTAAAAGTGTACATGTTTGCACATGTATGCCGCTCTGAAAGGTCTCTCGATTCCCTGGCAAATTGCTGCCAGGAAATCAAGAAGTCGATAAATCCAGTATCACATAGTGTCAAAGGTGTAACTCTGTGATAAGGGTGCTGCCTTCCATGTCAAAAAAAAAGTGTATAATAGTTAAAATAAACAGGTTGAAAATTGGTTCGTTTTTTCTTGTTTTGCCTTTCTTCCTCCTTTAAATAAGCAGTAATATTTTATTTGCCGCCTAATTCTTTGCAAATTCTTTGTTTTTGAAGATCATTGGACCACCTGGTGATCCCGGACCCGCTGGTTCCCCTGTGAGCATAACTGTCTTGCATTATTTCTTAGAAGCACTTTACGACTGAGTGCATTCCACATATAGAAGAAGTTACATATTAACATCTTTCAATTTCTTTAGGGTCCAGAGGGACCAACCGGACCAAGAGGCGATCCAGGGGACCCCGGAGAGCCGGTGATTCTCATTGAGAAACTTATTGCTGTTTTAATCGTTATTTTTAAAGGGAAAATAAATATAATTTCGCGCTATCCCGTCTTTTCACTTCCTGTTGCTTTGCCCGTTTCTAGGGAGAAGCCGGAGAATCAGGGCCTCCCGGACCTCCGGGACCACCGGGACCACCGGGTGGAGGAGGAGGGGGAAACATAGGTTCGCTGAGGCCCCAGGGGGAGAAAGGACCTGCAAATGTAAGGTTTGTTTGGTGTGCTGTGTGGTATAATCGTGTTGTGCGTGATTTCAATGAGTAAATCATTTTGAAGATTTTGCTAACTGTAAACAGGGGATGGTTTTTTGTACACGAACTACATGGCTAAAAGTTTCAAGCGTAATTGTACCTAAACAAGCAAATTATATCCTAGAAAAATATAAAAGCAATCAGAGTATCGCCTTAACCCTTTGATCCCGAAGAGTGATTAGCATCTAATTTCTCCTTACAATATCACCCCTGAATCAAACATTAAGGTCGTGAAAATAAAGAAAATGATCACCATCTTAAGGAGCTATTGATCGTTAAACAAATTCTCCTCGTCAGCGCCTCAGAAAATGTATGGCGATCAGAGAAGTAACTTAGTGCTGCAGAAAGCGAGAATAAACACAGACCCACATTGGCCACTTGATCTTATGAACAAATTTTGTTCTCTGTATAAATGGTGGATTCAAGACAAACTGTTTTTTCTTTTCTTAGAATGAGAAAGGTCCCGCTGTGCCGCCGGTGATCCTTCCTAGACAACAACAACAAGCTAGACAGGTACCGCAATGTGATTTAATATAGCCATTAGAATGCCTTTTGATCGTGGCAAAATTGGAATGGACGGGACGCTTTGATCTGAATCGAAGTGAATCGCTGCCGGGTTATGACCATGAACATTGACTTTCGGTTCATTTTTGTGGTCTTAGTTTTATTCCGTTGCGTCACTTACTCGAAAATGAAATGATGTTGATGATTTAATAATTTACCTTTCTTTCTTTCTCTTGATACAGGGACCCCCAGGTCGTCCTGGAATGCCTGGTCCGCGGGGACCTCGAGTAAGTTGTTTTTACTTTATGCTGGCCTTCAGAATTCGTCATATACCTGCCTGCAGAACAGGCTGGTATATGACGAATGTCTTACATATCTTCACGGAAGTTATGTAATTAAATGGTGGGTGCGCGAATTAGCCTTGAATCTTTCAAAAAACGTGGATTAATATCTTGAATTTTTCTGCATTTCACTGAAGTGCATTTTTATTCGATGTGAATCGCGTGTCTCTGTATTTCTCAGGGTCCCCCAGGTATCCCAGGGAATCGAGGCCGCATAGGAGTCAGAGGATCTAAGGTAAGAAGTTATGAGGAAGAGAAAGGTTGATGAAAAGACGACTCCGAAAAACTGATGTCAATTATCTTTTTTCGTAGGGCCAAGTTGGTTTGATAGGACCAGTTGGTCGGCCGGGAAGACGTGGAAAAGAAGTAAGACCGAAAAACAGTTATTTACTTTTCTCATACTCGTAACTTTTACTGTTTCCACTGGGTTTCAGAGAAACATCCCTCTCGTTCTTTTAAAATTTATGTGCTTTCCTCCACAAACATATCCTGTGTCAGGTCATCAGTTAGGGGTACCAATTTAAAAGAGGTGGCATGGGCAGGCGAAAAATGGCGGAATGTTGCCAGTCGTCACTGGCGCCTTATTTCAGTCGTGTCCATTGATTGAGAGCCTGGAGCAGATTAAGGCAAACCCTGAGTGGAATTCATCTTCTGTTACAATAACTATTTTTCCGCTCTCTAAGGATGGTTTTTTAGTTTTGTTTTTCGGAGTAGTACGAGCGCTCATGATCTTGTGATTACTAAATAGTCGAAGTTGCATGCAGAAACTCCAGAAGAGGCAACTAGTCACACTGTTTATTCTCAGTTTCTCTGAGTCTACGTGCAAATACAATAATCTAGTTTTCATTCGATCATAGGCGACGAAGTCAGAGGTGATATCAGTCTATCTTTTTTATTTTCACCGGATCGTATCACTCTGCACTTCTAATAACAACCCTGGCGTCATCACTATAAAGAAACAATCTTTGGCGAGTGTCACCTTATTTTATTTGCGTTTTATTGTTCAGGGGGCACCGGGAAAAAGAGGAAATCCCGGCATTCTTGGAGAGCCTGGAGAGAAAGTAAGAGGCTGTTAAGAAAATTTCTGTACAAGTATCATTATGATTCAGCCTCGTCGTTATTCTGCTGTTTAAAGCATTCATGTACAGTGCATCCAAATTTTTAAACAAATTTTATTACAAAGGAGAGTTGTCGAGTGAAAACAGAGTGTTGTATAGAAAGCGTTAACCAATAAAGATTCACGAGTACTTCACTTTAAATTCGACACTTTGTACAACAGTGCAATGAGTTTAATGTCACGAATTGACGGACATGATTCGAATTATCTAAGATAGAAATGTAAAGAAAATTATCTTTAGGGGAACGAAAACTGCTTTGAGTTTGCTGAATGTTCGTGTCATCATCGGTTTGAGTTTAACCGAGGACATTACGATCGATATGTGACGGCAATCCGTGTAAAGATGCGAGCTTCAAGCTAGCGGGAGTGCGGGTATTGAAATTCGACTTTAAAATTAAATTTGCTTATTTCTTATTTTGCATGTAAATTTTATCAGGGCCAGTCAGGTGACTCTGGAGAGGAGGGGCACTCAGGCCTCAAAGGACATAAAGGTCGTCGCGGTCGAACTGGTCCGAGAGGAGAACGGGGAGAGGAAGGAGAGTCGGTAAGCGCTTGGTTACGAAAAGGGGAAAGGAAAAATGCTAATTCATAGAAGCAACCGTTTAGTTGAAATTAATCTACGAAAGCGAGCAGAAGTCCAAGGTAATTCTCTAATTTTGACCTGAGGAAATGGGCTTACGTTGATTAATTCTCTTTTAGATAGTTTTTCCAGACTTAGTCATTCACTGCACTCTCCTTTGTTTGCTGTATTTGCTTTCGTTCTTTCTCTAGTTTTAGCAGAGCTCGTAGAGCGTAGCCCCATAATTATACAAAATAGTAGTAACTCATCAAGCCGAAAAATTTTGGATGTACGACCGTACGACCGTACAAGGTGCTACTTTTAACATGCGTGGACAACTGTACCGCGGGCACTGGGCTCCGAGTCGGACGACCCGACTCTAGTCCTGGCCGGAGCAAGGCGTTGCGCCCTTGAGACGTGCGGGAAAAAAAAATGCGAGCTCCACTTTTAGGCTTGGCTAAATCTATATATTAAAAACCGTATCAGTGCATCTATCAGCGTAATTTTGTATCTCTGTAAATTGTAAACCGAATCAACCTAAACGTATCATCGCTTATACCTTCAACCATAAACTGCATCATTGTGGCGAGTCTTCTGAAGTATGTTTAGAATCAAGTTTATGTGGATTGGGTTTATTTTGATCTCCACTTTGACTTACGTTGTAATGCACCCATAAGGCAATGACATTGATGAGGGCAATGGCGTTAGTTAGCTGGACGAGTCGCTAAAAATATTTAATCATTTTTAAAAATAATTGATGGGAAACCAGTTTATGGAGTGATCGTCTGTGGACTGGAAATAAAGGTCAGTGAAATAAGTTAGGTCTAATCATCAGCTTTTTTCGTCTTCAAGGGAATGCGAGGTCTAAATGGCGCTCCAGGAACCAACGGGAAACCCGTGAGTTTAGGAAAATCTGCTTCTCTATACTTCTAATTACTTTAAGAGAAACGTTTGCACATGCTAAGAGTTATTGTTACTTGGTCTTTTTAGGGAAACAAGGGGCCTCATGGAATTATGGGAAAACAAGGAAGCACCGGATCTCCTGTAAGTAAAACATGATCTACTTATTGATTGTGTGGGAAGGCTGGACGGGAAGGCTACTACATTCCTGTAGTAGTTGTTGCTGAAAAACAAACTTTTTCACAATTAAAACTTGTTCTTTAGTTCTCTAAGTCAGAACAAGAAAATCACAAATCATCGTAAAGCGTGACTTCTTTCCTCATTTCTGTTCTGTTGTTAGTGTACGTCCTATGATAATTTTAGTTTATGGAAAATGCAACAGAGCCGTGTGAGTGCGGGGCCAAACGGCTTCTTCCGGATCAGCTCACGTCAACCCGTCCGGCTCTTTAGCGGTCTTATATGCGTTGTCTTTGATTTGACTTTGCACACACTCAAACATCACGAAACAGGTTGTAAAAATCACCTTAATCGTTACACTGGCATTTCAAACGCTTAATTGAAAATGATAGGCAATCCTCATCAGAAATAAAGACGACCTTTGGAAATTCTCTGCTGTTTACTTGCGATTTGTTCATATCCAAGTTCAATGTTTTTGGAAGATTCTATGCACTGAGATTTCAATTTTTTTTGGACTTAGGGTTCTTCTGGAGCTAAAGGTGTGGAAGGCGAGGAAGGTGACCAGGTAAGCGGATATCAGTATTTAACGATTTCCAAAACTGAGAGGGGTATGAGACCCCCTTTATTCCCACCCCTCTTTCATACCCTTCCCCCTCCGACTCCCGGCACAATTTGCAGTCTTATGTTGCATTCTTCATTTGAATGCTTTTGTTAAGGGCGCCGCTGGTAAGCCAGGCTCTCCGGGTATTCCAGGAGTTGTGGGACAGAAAGGAGAAAGCGGGACGCCTGGTTTGGTCGGATATACGGGCTACCAAGGCGACAGCGGTGATACAGGACCTATGGGGCTGAAGGGGACGGCGGGAAGTGATGGAGAGATTGGAGAACAGGGACCAATTGGAGGAAAAGGTTCCATCGTGAGTAAGACTATGTTCTTGTATTTCTTACTTAATGTTTTTCGTAAGTATTCGTATGATAATGTTCCTTTGATTTCTACGGGTTATTTGATAGACATTCCACTCGTATGTATTGCAAATGATGTGGCAGATACCATGTAATATGATGACGCGAAAGCTTTAGGACGGGTTATCTCAGAAATTTCAGTCATCTCGAGCTGCGAAAATTTGTTCTCGCTAAATGAAAAATCGACAAGCCGTCAAAAAACTCCCGCATGCGGCTCTATCGCCAACAAGTGGTTTAGCGTCGAAATGAAGAGAACCATGTACCATCTTTGTTATTCTATCTTCATACAAGAGAACGTGTTACAGAGTTTGAGCTCTGCCTCAAGGTGATACCTCACAAAAGAAAGTTATCAAACAATTTTTTTAAAAACTTTCCATTAATGTTCCTTACCAATGTATGTTTCGAGACATACAATAATGAGATATGATGGCCAAACGTATCCCAGTTATGCCTGTAATGGCACATATCACGCGTGTTATTCATACTCACGAAAGTGTCGATTGTAATAGCTTAAATTAAACTAATTACGCCGACGGTGCTGGTGATATTTTTATCAGGGCGATAATGGATCTCCCGGAGAAATGGGCGCACAAGGACTCGAAGGTCGGGGAGTAAGTATGAATTTCATTTGTTTTAGATCACTACAGTTTGGATGTTCGAAGATCATAAGAGGGAACATGAATATCTAATCTAGTGTCAACTCTGGCTAAGAAGTACTTTGTTAGAAAGGATGCGTTTGTTCGTTTGCCTCATTATTTATTGTAAATCGGGACGTTTTGATAGCTATAGTGCAGTCTTCATATGTGTTTGCTTCAGGGTAGCACTGGTACCGAGGGACCCATTGGATACCAAGGATCCACGGTATGTAATTAGATGGTCATAGTAGATCACAAGACCTGGGTGGACGTAGATTTACTGAAATATAAGAGAGAAAATCAGCGGAAATAAAGATTATAGCATTCATTAAGTATAAGTCTTACAAATACTACTATCTGGTAGCTTAAACGAAGTTCAATTTAAGAGGTGGTTTCAGACAGTTACTGGGTCTTGAGACTTATTTAAGTGCAGGTTGTTTTAACAAAAAAGATGGTTGTTCTGTTGTCACTATAAAGCCTTCGCGTCAAGGCTCAGAAAATCAACGTTTACATTAAATATTAGACTAAATTAAGGGTGGTTTGGAATGCCGTTTTGTTAAATCAAGCAAAGGGAGAGGAGCAACTCAAGGAACCGCTTTTCAGATAGTTGTCAATAAAAAGAACCAAGATTTACCAATGGAAGCAAGTGACCAGTTTAATCTCGGCCTCTTTTATCGTATTATATTTTTAGGGAAATCCAGGGATTCCAGGCAAGAGAGGAGAAATTGGTGCAAAAGGAAAACCGGTAAAACCTTGACAATAAGCAAAGATCTCCCTGGCTAATTTTCAATTTGTACTCTTATCATTAGAAAATAATTACAACTTACGGTTTCAGGGTAACAATGGGACACGTGGATCACGTGGAAGGTCTGGACCTCGAGGGAAAAGGGTAAGAACCAGTTATTCTAACAAAGTTTAGCTGTTTTTTAACAAAATTGCGTACTAGACTATCTTGAATTTAGCTCAATTCTTTAATCTAAACGTTTATTTTTGTAAATAGCATGTCATTTTTGTGGGTAAAAACACTTTTGTTTGCCGTTTATGTCGATTGCGTTTGGTGTTCAAGTATGCCTCCAGATTGTCTCTACTTAAAGGAAAAACTTCGCTGTTTTTTTTGCATTTTGAAAAATTCAATGTAATTTTGACAAGTTAGTCATTTGCAATATGTGTTAAATTAATCTTGCCCGTCCTGAGCATCTCTTCCTCTTAAAGAAACTTTCTTCTCGTTGAAAACTTCCAAACGTATAGAGACGTAGGTCAACAGAAACAACGCCAGCTCCTGTAAATTACTATGTTAACTTTGCAGGGAGCTCACGGTGACACTGGCCCCAAAGGCACCATGGGTATTATCGGTTCAAGGGTAAGTATACTTCATCATTGTGTCTCTCAAAGTATTTTGATTTTTAAAACAAATTAGAGCGCTGACTATCCTACAGGGACCAGCTGGATCGCAAGGGCTCCTGGGATCACCTGGGGAACGTGGTGTAAAGGTAAGACTTCTCAGTATTATATCTCTCTCTCAGCACGTGCGGTATGATTACTCAATTTAGTCGTTCATATTTCACCATACGGCCCGCTGAGTTGAAGAAATTTGTTCGAATTGAAATCTTCTCTCTCCATTTGAATCCAGAGATATGATAAATATCTTAAGCTCTTCGTGTTATTGGTCTGTGCCGTAAGTTACGAAAATTGGTTTTTCGCCTCGAATGTATATATACATAAATCCGATCAGGAAAAACTCAGTCCATAACTTACAGTACGGACCTCGAACGCGGTTTTTAAGTACGTATTTACCTTTGTAGTGTTGCTATTTTTTATTTTAGGGAGTGCCTGGAATAAATGGACCACCAGGTTATTCGGGAAGACAAGGTGAAAGGGTATGTTTAAATGTTGCAGAGGGGATGTTAAGAATCCTGTATACTCAGCTGTGAATTATGACAGAAACGAATGAAACAACCCTTAACATTCAACACTTTTTTTTGACCATTTAGAAAATAGGTTCCATGTTGTTGTGCGTGTATTCAGTAGTAAATCACGGATGACATCAAAATGTGGTGAGAACCGTGGAAAAAAGAGGCGCACGAGGCGCAGCCGAATGTGTCACTGATGTGTTCCCACCAAATTTTTATGTCCTCCACGATTTAATACCCAGTTGAGCATAAGTACGAACACATCAAAATGCGTCATAACCAGCAGATAAATAACTTCACCATAATTTAACGTAGCCTTTACATGTCTGCTCAGTCATGCTGAACACAATTTATTTGCCTGCTAGGGAGACATGGGAGATTATGGACCTCGTGGTGTTAAGGGAGAACAGGTAGGCAACCCATAACAACAAAACAACAACAGCAATAGCATGAACTTTGTGAACTTGTCTAGCGTTTAAAACAATAATAGGAATTCTTCCCTGAGCTATCGCAGGAAGTTCTTTACTAATTGGGTTGTTAAAACGTAAGCTGAGTCAAATTCTTCGCGTCTTTACTTCAAATGAAAGGGAAAAAAATATCTTTCCAAATGCGTGAATTTTTTCTCCGGAGTCTATAACAATGTTTTCTTTTTTGTTAAATCTTTTTTTCCTTTAGGGGCCGCAAGGGTTGGCTGGAAGAACGGGTCGATCTGGTTCACCCGGTTTACATGTAAGAGAAACAGGTTACTCTGGTTTTTGTTTACTTTAATTTAACGTTCGTTAATTGGAGAGGAAAAGAGTTGGTCATCGAATGACAAATCATTTATATTATACCTGGATATTTTTTTAGGGCGAGGAAGGAGATTCTGGCAAACTTGGTGAAGACGGTCCTATGGTATTTATCAATTAGTTTAGATAATTTGTTCGGTTAATCTGAACGCTTTGCAAAAAGGAATGGAATAGATTGTATATGGAAATAGATCAGATCAGTGATAGAAAGATAGAATTATTGTGTGGTTGTTGGAGAATGGGGACCCGGTTTGTGAACTGAATGTATATTTGTTTTTTCTTCTACAGCACTTAAAAAAGAAACGTTATTTTCCTGAGTTCAGAAGTCCATTCGTTAGCAACAAATTCAGTCGTTGCCAAAAAATTAACTTTAGGAGGCACAAACCTTGTCTCCACATAGCTTGAGCCTAAAATTTCGCGTGTCAGTGATGTGTGCAGCACCTGATCGTATACGTGTGCATCATTTCTTCTTCTTCTTTTTGCCTTTCAGGGAGCCCCTGGAAGCGCAGGTACACCGGGTCCAGTTGGAACCGAAGGCGAGAAGGTGCGAGTTTACATCACTTTTGTGTTGATTAACAGGAGCCTTTCAATAGGACGGAATTAATATGCTTTCCTTGTAGGGAAAACCTGGAGATGCTGGAGAACAGGGAGAGACAGGACCCGAGGGACCGAAGGTTTGTTTGCATAAATTTTATAAATACAGAAAAAACAGCTGTAATGCGGTGAAGTTTGCCTCCACCATTTTTGTTCGAAGCCACTGACCAAGGACAACTCAGCATAGAGAAAGATCATGAATTGAAAAAGTTACATTGTTGTTCTCCGTTTGTTGCTGCAGGGAGCTCTAGGGCTAAGTGGAACAGTAGGCGCACCTGGAGTGGCTGGTCAGCAGGTAACTGGAAACAAAACCCTTAGATTGAATTTTCGATGTGAACATATCATGTACATTCTATATATTTCAGATGAGCCAACGGTTCAGTTTAAAGGGTTGTTGTTGTTGTTTTTTTCCGCAGGGGTCTAGTGGTCCAGTTGGTGAGGCAGGTGACACTGGATCACCCGGGGAAGAAGTAAGGAGAATTTTCTGCATGTACCTAATAAACATTCTGTAGGTTTGGTCCCCTCCATCGTTGTGTTGCTTTATTTCAAATTTCTAGGAAAGAAGTATGAACTTCTTCAAAAAATGAGAACGAAAGCTGTAAACTAAAACATTTTTTGTGTATCGTGGCCGTGATGATAAATGAACTGAATTTTATGTCGCCATTCATTCTGCTCTTGTTTACTTGAAAAATTTCTTTTGAGATGAGACAATTCAGTTTTTGAGTTGCACCATATTTGCTCTTTTAGGGGTTACCAGGCTTCCCCGGGTCAAAAGGAGAAGACGGAAGTCTTGGGGCAAAGGTAAGTGTATGACAAAACAGATGAAGTTGAACTTAGCAAACTGCTATCAGAAAATGTTAACAGAAAAAAAATACAAACTTTATTAATAATGGATTCCCAGAAAGTTGTCATTGTTGTATCAATCTTTTTACCCCTGACCCGTGGTACTGCGTCGGTGAAGTTTCGTTACAAACGAACAAATTTACCTATCAAAATTTTTCCTTTTTATTTAGGGTTCTAAAGGTGACGATGGCTTGAATGGTGTTCCGGGAAGTCAGGTCAGAGAGAACTCAGTGTCTTAATCTGAGACTTTGATTACACTATTTCCAGATGGAAATCAAGCTAATATATTAGCTTGACCATGCCAAATGAGCCATTTCATTTCAAATGAGCCAAATTTATTTTTAGACCAAGGCTATGCGGTCTCTTGAGAATAATATTATAGATTGCCTACGTATTGCTGGAATAATTAATTAAAGAACGAACAGAAGCAGGGACTTCAATAACGTTTTCCTTCAGCAAAGCCGATGATGTAATAGGCGGCGAAGCTTAAGCACAAATGTCTTGCAGGCTCAACAGACAGCGGTCAGAGGTCTTATAGGCGACGGAAGATTGCCGGTCAATGGCATTTAATGAAACTCCCGCAGAAGCCGTGAGGTTTATGGCCCCTGCAGTACCAAGATCTAGAAAAACATCACTCCTGCTCATACGTATTACTGTTAATTTCGAATGAGGGTAGCTGCGCATTTTTTAAACACTGCCCAGATATGCAAAATTTTCAAAATCAATTTCGCCACAAAGTTCTCTCGTTTTGGACGTTGCATTGCAGGGACCAATGGGAAAATCTGGAGTCAAAGGAACAAATGGAAAAATTGTAAGTTTTTTGGTCTTCGCGAGATTTATGTCATCATAATGTTCACTGGTGCTGCTCTCTATATGTCACTGTTCATTTTAGGGTGTACCCGGGGCCTCGGGTGAACGCGGTGACCAGGGAAAATCTGGACGAATCGTAAGTTACAACTCTCTCTTTTCGAGGGTGCGTTGCGAAACGAGACCGAACAAGGAGACTACATAAACTCTAGCCTTATGTAAAATGTTATTTTCAAAAGAAAAAACTTTTCGCATTTAGTGTTTTTGTTATATTTTCAAACATATATTTCCTTTTGTCTTCAACAGGGAGTGCCTGGTCTGATGGGTCAGTCTGGAATTCTGGGTCCAATAGGACGTGTAGTAAGTGATTCCATGCCTCGCTTTAAACATTTTATTTTTCCTATGTCTCTTCGCACCATGAAAAGAATCTATGACGATAAAGTGTACCGCAGTGTAGCAAGGCGGAAGGTAAATAACTGGGTTTTTCATTGTTATGCGGTCCGTCGTGAACAACTGAGCAAATTCCGCAAAAATTCAGTAGTTCGAGTACTATTCGAAGCGTCAATTATTTTAGTCATATTTACTTCAAATATTTTCCTTTTCAGGGTTCCAGAGGTCCTTCCGGTCATTCAGGTGACGGAGGCTCCAAGGGTGAAATGGTAATATTCTTATTATAATGTTTCATAAAATTACTGTAAATCCCAATGTTATTTCTTGATGAAAATTATTCTCTTCGGTGAATCGCAACTTAATACGCGGATGGTCAGTCATTGGTTTGTAGCTATGAAGGGTGACCTCATTCCACCGCATATTAACGGTAACAAGTTGATTCATTCTTTGTTTTTGTGGAATTTAGGGTATCAGAGGCCCCCATGGCAAGCGAGGGAAACGAGGATCAAAGGGACGATCAGTAAGTTTAGGTTTTTCTTTCGTTTGAAACGGCGAAAAAGTGAAAGGGCATCGGAGCACAGAATCTGAAGATCTTAAGTTTAATTCGTCCCAGGCTCGTGACAAGACGGGAAAACAACTTTCTTTGCGATTTTGTTTGTAGCAAGCTTAATTATAAGACATAACGAATTAAAAACTTTCTCTATTTAACGACCAGGTCCGGTATTCTTCTTTTTCTGATGTATCTCGCTGGATGTTATTTTTAGGGTGAGGATGGTTTTCCGGGATCACGTGGCGACAAAGGAAGCAGAGGAGAAAAAGTATGGAAATGAAACAAACTGTTTACATTTATTAACCGGGTAAAAGGGGCTCGATGTCCATTACTCTTCGAGTCCGGTCTCTATTTTTCCTCATCAAGTTCTTATCACATTGGTGTAAATTTGTGCCAACGAGAGGAGGATCCTTCCATATTTTCAGTGGGCTCTTAATTACCCTTTCTACTTGAAATAAATGAATGCCACCAGATCAGGAACTGTTCATAATTGTGTACTTTATTTTATAAGGGAGTGACCGGTGAAGGTGGTTTGCCAGGATTACCAGGGAGTAATGGCAACTTGGTGAGTAAATGGTAGTTTTGATAAAGAGTAAAACTTGGTTTTCTGCTTAGAGCTTACTTTCACATGAAAGACATGACAACAATTTGGCCTCTTTCGCTTTCAATAATCCTAGATGAAACTCTTAATGCATAGATCATTTCTTTAGTTCCTGATGTCGCCCATACAGCATTGATCTTTAACAAACTTTTGTTTCTTTTCCTCAGGGTCCGCGTGGGGATAGTGGTGACCAAGGTGGTCCCGGATTTGAAGGACCCGAGGTGAGTGCGCCAACTTGTTTACATGGCCTGCCCCGTAAGCGTGTAAGATGGAACAAATCTTATGTCCTGATTGGCTACCTGAGCCTATCTTATCTGCTCAGGATTGCTCACTCTGATCCCAGAGAAAAAAATTTTCTTCCTTGAAACCGGTTTACATATTCCAAAACTTCTGAGAAACCTTTTCTCAGAAGTTTCGGAATATGTATTTCTGTATTTCTGCAGTTTTTACAACATTCAAATCACAAACACGCCTCGAGGAAAGCGATAACGAAGAAATTGAAACCACAAGGATTGTTTTGAATTCATTTTGAAATCTTTTTGTGTGAACTCATCTTTGGTTTCTAATTCATGGTTGTTCCAAAATCCAAATTTACAATTCCTTTTAGCAATACGAGGGTTGAAAACTTGAAAGGCTGACCATGTCCGGTGCGAGACATATTTTTCAAACAAACGTTTCCTTATGTTCCATTACATTCATTAATTGTCATCCTTTTTCTTGCCTATTTATTGTTCATTGCAGGGAAATGCTGGACCTGTTGGTAATCAAGGACGACTGGGGAATCCAGGAATAAAAGTATGCGCACAGAATGTTCGGTCATTACCTATATCATTGATTGCCATTAAAGTTCTAAATTGAAAGTCAAGTCTGTCACAGACTTGTATGTACAAAGCTTGCTCCAAAATATGCTTATGACAAACCATAGATATGCGAGGATCCATTTTGCGTCGATGAGAGACCGCAGGGGGGTTTACCAGAGAGGCCGTGGGCAGGGGGAGAGGGAGGGGGAGGGGGGGAACTCAAAGAAATATTTTAGAGTGCACAGGCCTCCCTCCCCCTGCTTAGCCCCACTACGAAAACTACACTAAGTCTGTTTTTTTTTTTTTTTTACACCGTAGGGATCGCTAGGCGAGGAAGGACTAACGGGACCTGCAGGTGAACAAGGCACCCAGGTAAGGTGACAAAATAAGTTCGACAGAGAGGTTGATGATCAACTGACTCTTGAATAAACTTCTTCGATCAGGGGACTAGGAGTAACTTAACGAAAATGCCATTGTTTACTTCCCATTTATAAATTTATTATGAGAAAAGCAACGGAACAATAGCCTGACCCTCACCGATTTTCGCGCACATCGCTCATCTTCTCTGACTAAGACCCTTGCACAGGCTACGTTTGCCGTTAAAAAAAGTTGAGCATAATCTTTACTTTCGTGCCTCTCTCGATTACAGGGCGCTCCTGGTTATCAGGGTACAAATGGAGCATTGGGAGACCGAGGGCCACCGGTAAGGAGATGGTATTCTGACACCTTTTTTATAGGGAACACTGGTAGAAGTAGAAAAAATGTCCCATGAATGAACGAGTGTCTTTTGTTTCTACGATTCTCAGGGAGACACCGGAGCGCCAGGTGGTATGGGGTCTCCAGGGGCCACAGGACCATCGGTTGGTGAACTGACTTCTTCTAATTAACAAATAGATTCCATGTTGCCGTGGGTTTGTTCCGTAATAGATTACAAATGACTTCAAATGTGGTAAGATGATAGAGGTTGCCACTGATGTTCTTACCACAATTTAGCTTCTTCTGTGATCTATAACTGTACAGACACACGGCAACATGGAATCTATTTGTGTTATGTAACATAGAAGAAAAAATGTTGTTAACAGTAACTTTATCTATGCGTCTGCCCTCTAAGTGAACATAAGTTAGAACCAATCAAACTGTGTGTGTAATTCAGCTTCTTATGTAAATAATTATTGATCATCACGAACTGTTCAGAGTGCATTTAGGATACTCGAGACCAACTTCCCTTCATGAGTCACCTTGGCCAAGCCAGCTAACTTTTTGTCTTATTTCTTTTAAAACTTCAACCAACTACTTCTGATTGGCTGTTATTGTAACTTTAGTTTTGGTGTTCACGATACTCGCACTTGAGAGCGTTTTTCGATTGATACAAATTATAGGGCGTGTTTTTAATTGTTTCTGCGGAAAAACATCATTGACTCTTAATTCATCATCCATTTTTAATCCTTTTAGGGAGAGTTGGGAGGTGCTGGAATACCAGGGCTGAATGGTAAACCAGGACAAGCGGTAGGTGGTCCAAAGGTGGAAGAGGGGGGAAGGGGAAGGGGGTCTTTAGTCCCCCCAGTCCCCCCACGATTTGGTGCTTGGTGTGGAACATGTTGCTACTTCTAGTCTCGTGATTTTTTTTACAAACAGTTTCACCAAGATTGCACTAGACAAAACGATAACTTGTGAGACTTGTGAACAAGATAGTTTGATTTTTTCAACTGAGCTGATGATGTAAATCGGCCACTGTAAAGAGTTTCTAAATCGGACGCTTCGCGTGTTAGCCCTTTCGTCAGAGAGAATTATTCAAGAAACAGCCTCCTTGCGTGGTGTCACAAATCGATCACAGACACATACGATACTGTTAAGATTGCAAATAGGTTTATTCGTGTCGACGAAATATGTAATTCATGGGTGGGAACTCTTTTTCGGAATGTGGGCTTGATTTGATGTGTAATGAACCCCTCTCATCTCAAAACGTTGCGTCGCCTCCGCAGATGTCATTTACCGTTTTCGACCGATCGTCATTGTTGTCTGATCATCAATTGCTTTTGGTTTATTGTACTTACATCTTTTCAGGGGTCATTTGGTAACCAAGGGATGCCAGGAAGAGGCGGAGAAGATGGAATCCCGGTAAGAAACGAAACAATGAATTCAAAATTACCTACGTGTATTTTTCTAAATGCTTATGGGCCGCTTTATTTTGTCAAATGACAGGGTCTTCCCGGACGTGATGGTATACCAGGAAGTACAGGAGACGGCGGTCCTCAGGTGAAGCTACGGTGCTATAGAATCAATGTCAGCGTCTGAGCAACAGCGAACTTACCCCTCCCCTAACCTAACAACAATCAACTGATAACAAGTCAGGGTTACTTTTGGGTCAGGGAAGGGGAGGATGCGCAGATTCTCAGATACACTTACTAATACTGATTCGTGCTATCTTGCTTTACTATTGCTGGACTTCTTTACAACGGCAAAAGTACAATTCAAACCTCGAGGAACTTTATATTTTTGGAATTTATTTATGACAGGGTAAACAAGGCGAAAGTGGGCCTAACGGACCACCTGGGCGGACAGGGCAAATGGTGAGTATTGAAAGCGGCCGTGCAGCTACGGTTAGGCTAGGTGTCCAGAACAATATTGGCTATTGCTGCCGGAACTCGATCTTGTTTCCGTACCCTGAAACGACCAGGAGTACTGTTACTTTCTTTGGATAGGATGCTTGTCTATCACCGGCTTCCTCAACCTGCCACTTCTTAGGATTTCATCAGGTTTGCAGTCACCCATTTTTAGCTTAAGTTGGGGAGAGGCAATTGACGAGCTTAATGTCTCGCCCAAGAAATTAAAACGACAACCCTCTTCCCTAACCATTGCTAAAACCTGGACCTTTTCATTCGTGGAGTAGAGCGATAAACTTCCAGCCTCTGCGTTTCCCTCTGCTGTTCCTCTTCCTCCATTGAAATAACAACTTGGTCCACACTGACAACAGGTCCCTCACTTTTGATTTGTTTTGCACGTCATCAGGGCCTACATGGATTGATGGGCCTCAAGGGAATCATTGGTGAGGTTGGCTCTAAGGTGAGATGAACAAATGCACCTTTTGGATCTCTGTTCCCCCACGGGTAACCTTTGCCGGGTAACCTAATATAAGCCATATAGGTAATCACCCTTCCCTACAGATTTGGATTGAGCTACTGCGGCTGAAAACGGGTATCGATTTTAACCTTTATGGTCTCATCAAGGGAACTACGAGAGCGTGACAATGTGTTTTTATTTATTTATTTTTAACTCCAAATGAGTGATGGCGAAAGAGGAGTAACCGAGATATATCATCTGAGCTGAATCTTTGTTTGGAAGATACCACTTCTTGAGTTTGGTATCGATGCCTGGTCGAAAAATTGGCTATAACCGTTAGAGGCCAGGTTGAAGAACGAGTGTGGAAAATATTATCTTCATCTTAAATTATGGATTCCTTCTTGGATTCCATATCATTTTTCCATTATCTCGACTTAATAATAGATAAAATCATCCCACTTATGATTGTTTCGTTTTTTTTTTACCGTCGTATGATTAAGAAACCCTCATTCCAAAGCTGAAAAGACTCAATTTGAAATTTTTAATAGGGTGACTCAGGAGATCCTGGTGCAAGCGGAAAAGATGGAGCCACAGGGAAGCAGGTTTTAATCAAATTTTCTTCTTTTTTTTGTTTTATCTTACTGAGATTTGTTTGCTGCATGAACCACTGTTAAGTGTCAGTAAGACGCGTAAACTGTTTTGTTTTCTTTCGTGATTTAGGGGGAGGCTGGAAGGCCAGGTCAAAGAGGTTCACCCGGAGACAGAGGAAGAGAAGTGAGTTTAAAGCGGATGTGTTCAATAATTTCTGTGTTGATCGAAGCGATAAAGCAAATCGCGGCGACTTGTTCCAGGAACAGTCACGGTGCACTAAGCGGTTTGTTGAAGAGACGTGTCACAGCGAATTTTTACATCCTGTTCCCTGTAGTTTTGGAAATTTGCTTCTCCCTGTAAAAACTGGAACATCATCAGTTGCATCTAACGCCTTAAGATAACTTAATAACACATATTGTTAGAAACCAAATCTAAAATTGCACTTTTTAGGGAACCAAAGGATCTGCAGGACCCGTCGGAAACCCTGGACGTGATGGATTCAAGGTAGGATAAAGTGCATCATAGAGCCATTTTCAATTGAAGGTAAAAAAAAAAATCTGGATTACATTGGTTTTACCTTATCTCGATCTGTGATCGGTCGAGAAAACTCAACCAACCACGGTTCCAATTCGTTTTTCCCTACCTTTGTTTGTTTGTTTTTTCAAATACATTTTGTGCAACAGGTTATAATTTTCGTTTACAATGTGTGTTTGAAACTGTTCAATTATTCAATCGATCCAACACTAATTTGAATTTGGAAAGTTGGTTTAAGTTGAGGGGGGAAACCGAAAGACCTGAAGAAAAACCGTTGGAGCAAGGACGAGAACGAATAGCAAATTCAACCCGCATGTGACACCATGTTTGGGAATCGAACCCGGGCCACATCGGTGAGCGGCGAGCGCTGTCATCTCTGTGCAATCCCCTCTCCCAACCCGAGATAGGGTTATTAAACTGAAAATGGTGGCTCATGAAAAGGTCTCTCCAATATTTGATTCCTCATAAGCTGTTTGCTCTTTAATAAGCACCTGGTCGTAATGCTGCAAATGTGGTCTTCCATATACAGGGTGTGGCGGGAGAAGCAGGTGCTCAGGGAACAACTGGGCAGCCTGGCCTTCCTGGCTTTTCCGGGTCCACAGGGACGAGGGGAGTCCCTGGACCGAGTGGCGTGGACGTAAGTACATCAGAGCGACGGTGTTATTTCTGATATGGACCTGATACGTTCTGAATCGAATAGCTGGCATGTATCCCGAACTCAGTGGCAAAATGCGACTAAAGATTGTATATTTTGCCGACTTCGCACCACATTTTTGGAACATAGGCTACCTCCTTGACCTCTACTGCACAAAACCTTTTTGATCTAGATGTTGTTCAGTGCCCATAACTGTGCTCCTAAGTGGAGATAGGGTGCTTTGTCCAAAAGCGCAACACAATTTCCTGGTTTTCACAAAAAACAGACTTTTCAAATGAGGGAAAGCTTATTGTTGGTAACAAACACAAAAGCGGTTACAATTGAAGTAAAGTTGACAAGGTATAAACATTTATAGGCGCCTTTTTAACAAGACCAAAACGACATTATAATCCGTTTTTCTCACAAAGCAGGAATCGATGTTTCAATAGATTAAAAACACTTGACAGTTTTAATTATTTTATCTTTATTAAGTAATTTTCACACTCATTAGGGAGGAAGAGGAGAGTCAGGCGGTTCGGGACTCGAGGGATTAGCCGGTGAAGCGGTAAGTGCCAGGTCTTGTATTATGGAGGGAAAACATCATGATATCGTTAAAGGATTGTGGTTATGACAAAGCACAATCGTTTACCTCAAGATGTAGTCTTTTTGGTGTAGATTGCGATAATGCTACTCTCCTTCCGGCGATGAATTGCGCTGGTCAGTTTTAACCTTGTTAAACATTATGCTCCGCTGTGATTTATTGATCCGTTTGAAACAGCTGTTGGTGATGCAATTCGATGAAGTGTTCGCTCAATGAACACAATCGAGCAAAAGTCCTTAAATGAGGTTTTCATTTAAGAGGCCGACTAAGAAGTCGCTCGGCTACGACTCATGCAACGAGCCCACGATGCGAATTATATCGCATAAGCCAACAATAAAGCTTTTTTACCATCGAGTCATGCACGACAGTGGCACAGTTAAAGCCCTTTTATGAAGCATTGTCTGTCTCTACGACTTACACGAGGTCTTATTGCATGCCTACTTTTTCTGTCCAGGGAGATGCCGGTGAACCTGGAGAAAATGGAGAAACTGGAGCACTTGGAAATAAGGTAAAATAATTAGCAGCAATTGGTAACTTTAACAGGCGACTTCTTGTTCATCAAACTAGTTCTTCATGTTTCTCGTTGCTTTATTTCCAGGGAGAGCGCGGTGTTCCTGGTCAGCAGGGTCCCTCAGGGAAACCAGGCTTGAAGGTAACAAACCGTTATCCATCGATGTTTTCAAACTTTTTTGGGGAGGGTGTCTTGTTTACCAAGCGTCATTCTACATTTCGTTCCTCTTGTTACTCTGTTATTCTCTTTCTAGACACTTAGAAAATTGAAATATGCCATGTATTCAAGTCCTTTCTTTTTCCTTAGGGACCAGAAGGGTCTGTTGGGCAGAAAGGAGGACTGGGTCGAACCGGTCCAAGGGTATGTATGAAGATGTTGAAAGACATTTAAATTTTAAGCAATCACTTTTCGAGAAATATTAAATTTCTGTAAGAGGGATTTTTACTTATCTGAGAGAATGTCGGGAAAAAGAGCTTGAAGGGAATCTGTAACAAATCAACAAGAATGATTAACATAAAAGGGCCAGGTATGAATCTGCAAAACGTCTATTTATGTCAGTAGCGACAGCCACTTGGTAGAGAGCTTTGTGTTCCTTACGCACGAGCCAGAACTCTAGGAGCTTTCAAAACTAAACATCTTTATCGGGAGCAGAATTCATGAATTCAATTTGGCCGAAGCCTGGCTGTGTCAGGCCAGTTTCAGCGGTTGGAGTTTCAGAAACGCAATTTTTATATTTTGCAGGGTGAAGATGGAGCACAGGGACGAGCTGGTATACAAGGCTCTCAAGGTTCACTGGTGAGTTGCCGTCGTTCACAGCATTCCAATTAAGCTTCTCTAACTCGACATCGATGTAATTACTAAAACGAAATGAGAAAGCCATAAGGAGGAGCTAGTGAGCTCTGAATCTGAATTGAGCGCGTCACTTGCATAACGCGCGGGTAAACGGGAAACCCATTCGACCAAATCGTGATCGATGCAACTGGTGTAACCTCGTTCCCAGGATCCTCTCCCTTCCTCCCTCGTGGAAGAGAGAGTACCTTGTTAACGGTTTTGTGTTTTATGTGGGACTGGAGAAGATTTTTAAATTTTCGTGAAATGTGAACAGGTTATATTTTCCTCAAGAAAGTCATTTGACTGCTGTAGCCATGAACTATTGAACAATATTGGTATTCTGAACCCCTCACAGCCAACGTTTTTGATTGGTCGAGTTTCGCACGAGATTCTATAAATTTCGACCAATCAGAGTGCGCACATTATTACCTAAGTAAGAAGATATTCTATCGTAAGTTATCTAAAATCTTAGTTAGCGAACACCTCCACGATTCCGGATTTCTTTGGATACTAAACTGGAAACCATCAAAGTAAAACGATCTGGATAGTACATTTGCCCTCATTCACGATGGTCGCGGTTGTTCAAATATGGACATTACACTTAAGGTATGCTTTTCTGTCGATTTTAGGGAATTGACGGTCTGAAAGGTTTTCAAGGAGAAAGGGTATGATAAAATTTTTCTTCCATTTTTTTTTTGGCATGAACTATTGCGCGGTTCAGAGGCCCAATTTTTCAAGAGGCGAGGGTACTTCGAGTCCTAGGAACACAAAAAGTTACATTCAGTGATTACAAGCATTCTGTGTGAAGATAGTTTGTCGTCACTTTGGTAATGAAGAGTTCTTACCCCAATTGAATGTGGGGAAATAAGTGAAGTGAACTGTGCTCTTGTAGCAAAAATACGTATCGTTGTTTTGTCATTTGTAATTGTATCTTTGGGTCTAACACCCTGCATTTAAGAAAGCGTGTTAATGGAATGATGTTTATCCCGTAGTGATCAATTCGGTATGAAATTTGGCCTGCGATAGAGGGTTCTGGTGAGGGAGTGTTTAACCCTTTACGCCTTTAAATCAGTATGCATATTCTCCATAACGTTCTATATACATTTCAAAAGTTTCTGATAAGGAGAATTTGAATAACAATCAAGAACTTCTTAAATTGGTGATCATTTCCTTCATTCTCGTGACCTTAATGTGTGATTCAGGGGTGATATTGTTAGGAGAAATTAGATTTTATTTTACATTTGCTGATAAATTTTCTATTTATCAACAGGGAGATGTTGGCCACAGGGTAAGCAACGATAATAAGTGGCTAAGTTTATCGTTTAAGCGTTGTAATGATAATTACATAGTGATATTTCTTTCTCAAAACATCGTTTATTCATTTCTTTCCTTTGCTATAGGGACCTGAAGGAGAACGGGTATGAATTTCTTTTCTTGTATTGTGTTCAAGAAGTATTTTATTACATTGACGTTGATTAAACCACACCGGAGCGGTGACTCAGTGACGTAATGCTACTGTGTACATTTTGGTCACAGGGTATGTCTGGACCTCCTGGACCCCCGGGACCCACGGTGAGTAATGTTTTGTACTTCAACTGTGGGTGAGTGGGAAAACAGTGGTCAATGGTCGGGCATTTGTACTAACTTCCCGCGCAAAATTTCACCGAAAAGAAAAAGAGACAACCATTGTCACGCAAAATATGCGGAAAAAAAGATGATATGCCAACAACTTATGCGAAAAAGAAGTGAAGCGATCATAGAAATCTGTAAAAGGGAACGAAACTGGTGAAAGGAAAACCTGAGACTTTTCGCACGCAAAGCTATCTTAATTAAGGGTATCTTGTCGATTTACCATCTTGTTTTGAGCTTTACTAAAACAATTATACCCTTTTGATTTTAAACACCGAGACTTAATGGCTAGTGTGGTATATAACTCTTGTAAAACAACTTAGTTCTGACTACCTGGAAGCGAGCCAGTTAGCGTTTGCACATGCGTAAGCGTCTGACCGCTGTGTTGAGTTTTAGAAAAATAATACAACTCATATTCACAGTGGATCGTTTTTCTTTTTAGGCAGACATAAGATCTCTCAGTGGCTATGTTCAGGTAAATATGTGATGACGAGCTGAAACTACCTTTGCAACGATATTTTGTAAATCGGATTAGACTGTATTATGTGGTGGGAAAGTCTCTGCTTAATTTGCGTCAAAAATCGTACGAAAGTGCCAGAAATAGGACAAAAGCGTCCTTAATAGGTCGTAATCGGAAATCGGACAGGAAGTTCGACATCGTACGAAAGTGCCCGAATTCAGACGGAACTGTTCAAAATTGAAGGGAAGTTGAACAAAAACCGGACTCGAGAGTAGCGCAAACTGAAGCTAATGACACATGATATTTTCGCTTCTTCAACTTTTGTTTGATCAGCTTTTTTTTGTTTCTTTGTCAGCGCTTGAATAACAGAGGCACTGGCTCTTTCAACGTTGAAAACGAAAAAGCAAAGCTGTATAGAGGCTCTAAAGATCAGGTGAGCCTAGAGAACGGATGTTGTGATTTAGGTTAATAGTTTAATTAAGGGTTGAATGCGATTTCGGCTTATTGAGGATTTTCAAAGCTGATATGCATGTATTTTTTTAGTGCAGTAAATGGACTAGAGACTACCTGATCACACGTTCTGTTATTGTTGTTTATTGCATGATATCACTCTTATTTCTTGAGGAGAAGGTTTCAACAGTTAAAAAAGGCTTGGATCTGTTCTTAATTTTGATTTTTGCTTTCGTTTGCAGAGCGGGGAGGCTTTAATAGATCCAGTAAGTGAAAAGTAACAGGATTTTTTAGTAAACTATAAAAACCTTACCAGACTCATAATTTTCGGAAAGGCCTCAAGAGCTTTTTTTTTTTATCTCTGTAAAGCTGCATGAGACACGATGCGATCAAATAATTGGTAAATGATGAACTAACATTTCTCAGTGTTATGCAGACACTTTTCCCATGTGTTACACTTTTGTTATCGATGTAAACCTGGCTGGAGATAAAACACATATTTTTGGACTCTGCATGGTGTCCAAGTTTTCATATATTATTAGGAGTGACATATTTTTCTTTACTCCTGTTCAGGTTAAACTTACTTTAGCTTTGATGCATTACGAAGTTAAACTTTACAAGCAGCCTAATGGCACCAAAGAATTTCCAGCCCGAACGTGTAGAGACCTCGTCACGTGGTATCCAGGTCTTATCAGCGGCAAGTATTTTCAACAGTTAAAAATTATTTCTCGATTAAATGTCGTGGAGCCAAATTAAAGGAAATCACCTCGACCAATCAATTGAGAGGAAAACATTACAAGCAAACTGCATGATTTTAAGCGCGGGGAAACGCGGGTTACTCCTATATCATTGCATCTGATTGGTTGAGAGATTGGCGGGAGTCTTCTCGACCAATATCAGAGTCAAGAAAGTAAAACCAATGCAAACTAAGATTAATTTCGACACTCGACTGGTAATTTCTCCTAGAGGTTCCCATTTTGCCTCTTTTCGTTACACTGACATCTTCCTTCTTCCCCCCCTTCCCCCCTTCCTCCCATGTTGTTTAAAATCTATGACGTTTTCAATTTCCCTGATATACTTTAGAAAGTTAATGTTAATGAGAGGAATGTTGAACATTGGGCTAAAAAGATTCTCGAAAGATGTGCACTACTAGCTTTTACGTTTCTTGTGGATAAATGTGAAGCTATGTAGGAAAGTAAAAAATGTTTACTCAGTGATACCACATTCCAGGTGACTTTTGGATTGACCCAAACGATGGCGTGCCTGATGATGCTGTAAAAGTTCACTGTGACTTCTCCTTCAACGCAACCTGTTTGTACGCCAACAATGAAAAAAAGGTATATATGTTAAACATAACAGAGCTCCCACTTTTTTGGATAAAACAAACTCACAATTTTTTGGTCTTTCTATGGTTTGTATTTAGAAAATGTTTGTCGATGGCGGCATTTTGTCGCTTGCTTCTCTTTTTCAAGCAATATTTTGCTGTTGACCTCTTTTCTGCGAACCACGCTTCTCCTTTGTTGACGTTTTGAGCTAAATAATATTGTTAACTTGTGAAAATATCAATAATTTTTAATTATTATGCTGATCAGATGGGGAACTTGTGTTGAACAATTTTTACGTTTGTACACATATGTAGGTTTTAGGTGTTAATTATTCTAACACGACCCCACAAGCTGGTAAAGTCATAGCATAATCCACATGGTGTTCAAATTAAAGGTTTTACCTACCTACTTACTTACTTACTTACTGACTTCCAGCCAGCCTGAAAAATTATGACTTTCCCAGTTACTTTGTGACACTAACTGTATCATTCCTTTGATGGGAATGTTGTTGGTGTTATAAGGCAAACTCTGGTACAATGAAGAGAAAGTCCCTCTTCACTGTTAGTCTTTGCTCGCTCGTGTTCATTTTGAATGTACCCTTATAAAATATATCAACGTATTTTCCTTTCCTTGTAATGCTCATTCTGTATTCTGTTTCAGCCATTCACGATCAGAAAAAAGAAATGGTTCTCAGGAACTGATGAATACAAATGGCTTGGAGAAGATCTTGGCGCCTTTAACAAGGTTATAACGAACAATCTAATTCCTCTTAGCTAAGAAAATTAACTCACTCTCAACACACGCTTTAAAAGATAAAAGTCCTCTTCCAAAACAAATGCTTTTCAAAATCAAACTTTATTTATCCATTTTCTCACTATGAACCTCAAACGAAGCATTATAATTAGTTACGTGTTAGTGACTGAGAAGAAAAATCCCTTTTTATAAATCAGCGATTAATCATTTGTAAATAAAAGAGCTCTTTTCGATTGAGTGTCGTAAAACCAAAATACCTTAAAGAACCAATGAGAACTCAGGAAAAAGACAAGCAAACCGCATAAATCAGCCAAAAAATTGCGGGCAACCAAGTCGAAATTTTTGTTAGTTTTGCATCTGATTGGTTGAGAGAGAAGCGGAAGTTTTCTGGACCAATCACAAATAGGATAGAAATGGTATATTGTCTGAAATGGATATGTTCATCTTGTTTATTACAGAGTTGTACCCTACTTTTTTCGATTAAATTTCTCTATTCTGTTTGCCTGCAGATCAAGTACGTCAAGTACTCCAGTCAACTCTCATTTCTCCGCCTGCTAAGTGACCGCGCCCGCCAGAATATCACCTACCATTGCAAAGACTCTGTAGCCTGGTATGACCAAGAGCTTGATGACGTCACAAAGTCATTGAAAATCAAGACTGATAATGGCGTGATTATACACTCAAGTTCGTCTAACAAGTTCAAGCCCAGTGTACTCGCGGACAATTGTCGAGTAAGTGAAAATAAGGGAAGAATCGGGTAGGAATGATACAGCTAGATCGACCGAAATAAAATATTTAATCTAAAATATTAAAAAGCACAGTTTTCATAGTTGATGCTTGACGAATTTCCCTTCAACTTTACCAGGTTTAGAATTTGCACTATGTCTGGGACCTTAAGCTGTCTGGACGGCAACGCTGAGGAAGACATCAATTAAAAAGTTTTTTAAATTGATTTTTTAGTTAGAATTTAACCAATGGCTCGATGTGATTACCGTCTGTTACGGCACCGCGCCTCAGCCTCAGCTTAACGTTTGTGAACAGCGTTGAGTTCCAAATGGACACTTAACTTATTTGCCGTCGGGGTTACCAGTTTTAGACCACGCAAATTTTGATGATTTCATGTTTTTCTTTTACAGAGGACGACTGAGAAATGTACAAAGTTTTAAAACGCGCATGTTTAGCTAGGCCCCTTTGATCAATTGACTCGCGCGATTAACTACAGCTCCTTGAGGCGATTTTTTTTCCGTTCTAGGTTAAGAACGGCACGTGGCTTTACACCATTATTCAAGTGGACACGCCCAAACCAAACCGACTTCCAATACGAGATGTAGCTGCCTACGACATCGGAGACGAAAACGAAGAATTTGGACTCGAAATTGGACCTGTTTGCTTTTATTAGTCTCCTTAGTCTCTCTTTTATCTTCTTTTATCGTCCCGCTCAAGTAAACTCAGGGAATTTGTACCATATGTTTTAACTTATTGTTTGGACTGCTTAAATAATAGTTGTATTTGCTAATTATAATTGAGTTAATTCTTCACCTGTTGTTTGAGTTATTAGAAGTCTATTTAAGCAGTAGACCGCACTTTCTGTTGGTTTACCGGCGTTATAACTCAGGCGAGACGTTGGGAGAACACGAGCAAAGTTTGTAAATTAAGAGCCGGAGCCGAGTGATTTACAAACTCTTCGAGTATTACGCCGGTAAACCAACAGAAAGTGCGGCCAAACGCTTTTACGAAATGACCTTCAATTTCCTATGGGTTTACCAGTGCAATAAACGATAGGTTTTAACCAGTCAGGGCGCTCTCTAGTATCTCAGTTATTTTGTAAAACGCATCAATACTTTTTCCGTGGCAAACCTTACTATTACAATACATGTTTCATCGGTTCTACCCATGTCAGTGCTTCGAAAACGACTAGCTTTGAAAAGATTTGATGTTCAAAGTTATGTATTTAAATCTCAGTGAGAAAAGTACTAGACTTTGCCTCGCTTGCCGGAGGTAATTTTCACTCCGGCGAAATTAATGAGCAAAGTGTTCAGGGAAGTTTTGGAATTGATCAAAGAACACTGGTGTGGTTACAATGCAAATATTTTGAACCCCATTCACAGGTTAGTGATTTTCAGACCCTGCTGTAACTTCAATCACAAATAAGCTAACTCTTTGATCCCTCTGAGTAACTGGAATTACACAGGAATTACACAAGGAAAGTCAAAGGAATTAAGGAAATGATCACCAACTAAACAAGCTCTTGATTGTTAAGCAAATTTTTCGTGTCAGCACCTTAGGAAAGTTATAGAGAACAGTGTGGATAATATGCATAATGATGTTTAATTGTAACGGGTTACAGAAGTGCTCTCATAAAGTACTTGATCCTGTTGCAAGTGGTTGTTTTCAAATTGTGCCTGTAATAAAGATGCGCTTTTTTAATTTTCTCATCTCACGAAAGGCCAAGCTCATGGCTCTTATAAAATTACCCCTTTGTGTAGTCTACTACCACAAGCAAACCTCTTTGCAATGTTAACAGTGTGAAGTGTAGTTTTAATGTTATTGTTGCAATGACGAGTAAGCTATTGCAAGCACTCTGTTGCGCATAATCCTAGAAAAGCAACAAATAAAAAAATTTAAAAAAAAAATACTAAATGTGTTACTGGGCCACTTTTCTGCCCAACCCTAAGCCATATTTTCTGAGCTGAAACGAGCATGGCATGCCCCCTTCCCCAAGTGTGTTTTTTAGGGGTGTTACAGTGATGTACAGCAGGTTAAATGCAATACAATAATAAAATTAACTGATTGCACCAACAATAACCAGTTTTCCTTTCAATGTTGGCTTCTTTGTAATTAATGACTATTCACAAACGTGGAGTTGAGTAGTGGTAGATATTTACTGAGCTGTGAAGCAGTGAAGTCAATATCTGCCACTTTTGCAGACACTGAGGTGAAAAATTGTTTTAGTATATACCACACAAATACCAAAAAATTGGTTCAATTCTTTCAAGATACTAAAAAATTGTTGAAAATGAAACTCTTAACATGTGAGTTTGTCTCTTTGGCAGCTTGAAGGTAAACAGTACTTGTTATTCACTTCTGCAACTGAGACATGAAGGATTTCAGTGTGTAAAAAGCACTATTCCCTTGTGTAGCATATATTATTGCCTGACATTATTGCATTAAGACAACAATCATTCCCAGAGTAATTCTGGTGTTCCAAGGTTTCAGCAACTTTGCAAACCCTACAAATAACTTATTAAGAGTGTTAATAGTACATCTGCTATATATTTTGCCAGGCCTAAAACTAATAAAACAAAAACTTTCCTCAAATATCATCTAAGGTAGATAATTTAATGTACAACAGAACTCGGGGTAGTACAACAAGGCACCACTTAAACAAGCATATTAGAAAAACTTAGTAACAACATTACATTTCATTTTCCTCCTGGGTGGAGAGAGGCAATGTGACAGTAAAGAATTTTGCCCAAGCACTCAACACAATGATCTTGGGCCTGTTTTCCAGTAATTTATCAGACCCTGAAGCCAATCAAAATTTAAATAATAGAGAAGCTAGTTGTGTCACTCTAGACTGTCCATCTTGTTTCTGTGGCTGATAGTTTTGGTAAGAACAATTATGGAAAACAACCAACTACAAGGATTTACTAATAATAATTTATTCTAAAAAATAAAGATAAAACAAGACCCGGGTCTTGAGCCTGAACCTCTCAACCTGAGGTCCATTTCTACCTCTGCCACTTTCACACAGGACTCATACCAACCAAATATCGGAGTCTTTCAAAGACAAAAAAAGTAACAATAGTATGAGGGCCTATTCGCATCCAGTTTGGTATAAATCCCTTATACAATCCTAATAATCCTTCATGTCTAACAATTTTCCCTATACAATGGATGGTATTTCTGTATACCAATGGCTTTCCACTGGCATCTTTTTTCTGGTTCATCATGCGTGTTTTCACCACATCAAATGGTGATGTACTAAGAGCTGTCACAAATCCAGCAATGACAGATGATACACCATGTAAGGCTGGCCCTTCTTCCATCAACTGCGCATTTAATAAAGTATGTTTTGTATGGTCATATGATGGAATTTGTGCTGCTGTCAAAATAGCTGCACGCTGAACTGTTGGGCCCACGCCTGTCCATAATCCTCTTATTCCTTCCTTTTGTGCTATTTTCCAAAACGCATGGAAAGTGTGTCGATACTCTGATTTTTTTCCAGGTCCCAAGGCTTGGAAGCGAACCTTGACTAAGTCTGTGGGCGTAGCAATTGCACTACCTATTGTTCCTGACATTGCACCAGCCACAATTTTCTTCCACAGAGGAGTGTGAGCAATATCAGTAGCTCCTAACTTAACTTTTAATGGCTCATATGCTCCTAGCCTAATAGTACTGTATGATCCTTCCCTCATCATTGATGGCAGCAACCTTAAACAAGCAAACACATTATTAATGCTTTGTTCATGAGGACAGAACCATGTGACTGGTCTTGTGCTTTTGAAGTCAGGTGCTTCATTCAACCTCAGTTCAGCAGGACTATATTGCCAAGTCATGCCAAACAGAGAAGTTGTAGCATATTTCATTATGCATAAAAAAAAAACAGTGCACAATGACTTGAACCTTTAACCCTATGAATGATTAGAAGCTAAATTCCCCTTCCATTATCACTGCTAAATCAAGCATTAAGGTCATGAGAATAAAAGAAATGATCACCAAACATAAGAGCTTTTTAGGTTACAAACAAATTCTCCTTACCAACACAAAAAGAAATGTATAGAAAACAGTATGGAAAATATGTATACTCATGAAAGGGTGTAAAAAGTTAATGCTTGTCAGTCCAGAAAAATGTGTTTGGACCCAGGTTAGCAACAACCTTCTCCATCTTATCAAATTCACTTTCCCTTGGTCTTCCAAAGCCAAACAATCCAAGAGAGGATACCATCCATCTGAAGAACACAAGATGTGCATCCTCTATAAAACCAAACAAACCTCACAAAAGTTTAGGTTTTGTAACTTACCCTTTATAAAGACCCCTCAAGCCCTCCTCAGAGAAAATTCTAATTCCACCTCTTATAAACCCCTTATAATAACGGTCTTTGAAAATATTCTTGCTGCTATGTTTTGAGCCCAATTCATTCTCAAGTTGCATGCGAATCTTGATGACATCTATGGGGTTTGTTACTGCAAAATAAATGAAGCAAAAGATTTTAACTCTAAACAGCCATGTACTAGCTCCTAAGTCGAAAGATGGAGGTATAGCCCAGGGGGGGATGGGGGGGGGCACTTCCTAATAAAAGGTAAGAAGAGATTAGAGAATAAGGTTTCACGATTAAAAAGTTATTACTGTAATACCAAAATGCTTATAAGATGGGGTCCATAGTTGGCCACAGAATAGACTGTAATGGGGTAGGGGTCTCACAGGCCAGTAGCACACATCCAGCAAAAATAAAACAAAGTACCTCCCCCTTTGGTTGTCTTGTGGCATAAGAGGAAAATCATATTGTACTGGTTGTTAATCTGATCGCCACAAAAAGGTTAATATTTTTTCTTTAGAAACGGGTTAATTTTTTTTTGTTTTAAATTTTATGAACTGTGCAAGGAGGATGTTCCATCATCCCAGAGATCTTCCTTGTTAACAACCAAGAACGAGTCAAAACAATTAAGGACCGATGTGTATAACCGAAGGTGCCTGATCGCGTATTTCTGTGAAAGTTCCGAAGATTAAGTATTTTTTCGAAACTGAGGCAATAAATGCTGCAAAAACTTTCACCAATTTTTTTCACACGGCTCGACGTTTGGTAGGCAAAGGTCAAGGTAGTTCTGGCGTTACTAGATTGCAGTTTCAGGTTTAGGCTAGGTTCACACGGTACCGGACGAATTTCGACCGGACATTCTGTTGACGTGTAACTGTGTGAAAGTTTCGTTCTGTTCAGATAAAGTTGATAACCGGCTGAAGTTTGTGACCCTCGTCTGTGCTTTTACCGCCTCCTAATGCACAGAACGCTTTCTAACCCACACACCGTGGCGGTCAAATTATTGACTGCACCGGCTAAAAATTCGGCCTCGATATTCACGTTCAAATTTTTGAACGCTTGGGCGTTCAAATTTTCGTACGTTTGGCGTGGTTCCATGTGAACGAAACGCCTAAACGCACGAATTTTCCATCGGTCGAAAATTCGTCTGGTACCGCGTGAACGTAGCCTTATAGTTAAAATAGCGTGTCAAATGCTAGCAAGTGGTGTTTGTCGAGCGATAGAGCTTTCAAGCTGTCACTTCAATGTCATCATCTAAGCTTGCTTCATTGATCATAAGCATAGAGCTACAGACTTAAATCGAGCATGGCTGAATTAAAATGAATTCAGGACACTACCATAACCTACCTGCTCCACCACACATGTTAGAGATTCCGCTTAGCGCAAATCTAGTTAAATTCTCCGATGATTGTGTAGACATTTTAAAGGTTCAACGTGGTTCCTAGCCGAATTAGTTGAGGTCAACAACAGTCAAATGTTTCAAAAGGACAAAACCACTATATATTTTTTCCTCAGGCCATGTGAAGCACCCAGCAATGTTTCATTTTACAATTTAATGTATCGACAATTTTTTTCTCTCCCGGTGGTGGTGATTGGTTTCTGTCAACAGACTGGGGCTTAAATGACGTTGTCAAATTGAGAGAATTTTGTCATTTCGACAAGATTTTTGATAAATTTTTTAATTTGTCCGCATAATTTAGCTTGACCGTCTGTTGGCAAAGACACTTCTCGAAATTAAGCATTAAAAATGAATGGTAAGCGGAGAAAACTCGGTAAAGTCAACTTATTTACCAACAGGTATTCTCAAATCTGAAATCAAACGGTTATAAACAAGGGGACACAAGGGATAATTATGTTATTTTTATCCTACACCCGGCCAGTTGTCAATCACCCCCGTACTGTCCAATGAGATTTTTTTCACGCGGGTAGGGTGGACACATTTCCCAAATAATTAGCCAATCAGAAACGAGTAAGTGAATTTTTCTGGGGTGGCCTCCGCCCTGCTTGTTTGAAGCTTCGCCGCCATCGCTGCCGTCTACACGCTTGTAGGGTGGGGAAAGTAGCGACAAAATGGCAACTCCAGGACAGAAGGAGAGAGAGGCAGAGCTTCACTCAGTCCTCAGAGCGGCAAACCTGTTAGACTACTACCCTAGCTTCCTCGAACAAGGAGGAGACGATGTACAACAGTTCTGCGATGCGAGCGAAGATGAGTTTAAAGAAATCGTCGCGTTGGTTGGCATGTCGACGAAGCCACTTCACACTCGAAGGCTGCAGAAAGCTTTGGTGGAATGGAAAAGCAAACGAGGCAATTCTCCGGAGCGAATCAGTCCCGGATCTTGGATGGACAAGTGGACTTCTTCGCCTCAAGTCAATCGAACTCCTCAGTCAAGCAATTCATCGCCTGTTACTACTGCAACAACGTCGACAAGTGCTGGAAGAAAGCGGCGAAGCAGCTCGGGTGCCGGCAAAGGCGGTCCAGAGAAACGAGTTGTGGAGCTGAAGCTCCCGCCGATGGAGGTCATTATCGACTGGGAAAAACTCGATCCTGAACGACAGCAGTTGATCCGAGATCATTCGCGAATTTACGGTCGAGATATCAAGAAGCGCAAGACTAATACTCTGAACTCACACGAACAAATGATCAATGAAGCCGCAGCACAGCTTTGTCTTCGAGATCCGACACTTCTAGTTCGACGTGATGAATTGTTTACAATGGCCAGGCGAGTTGTTCGTGACAGTGGTTTCACCTTTGTGCATGGTCACTCAAGATCCAAGTTTGTCTCCGAATCAGACGACGAAATGGATGGTTAGTGATTCACGATAATTTAGTCTGCAAAATGTGCAAAATCGTTTTTGTCAACATCTTGAGGTTAGTTACCTTTGATGTTGGATGAAATCTGATATGACAAGTGGCTGTTGACATCCTATAAGTTTTTCCTTCTTTTTTATCATTCAGAAGCATATAGTCATATGCCTCTGCTTCATTTTATCATCATAATTATTATTTTACTATTACTATCACTATTGTTATGATCAGAATATACCACACAGGTGTGCTTTTTACTTGCACTGATTGGCCAGATTATTAGTTGATAAGGAAATACTATTTACCGCTGCACAGCCAAAGAGACAAAATCACACATGTGCGATTTATTTTCGACCATTTATGTTATATCAACAGGAATAAACTAATTTTTTTGGTTTCTGTGTGGTATATATAGGTCAATTATTCACCTCATCCAATCACCTCATAGCTTGGCAAATAGCTAAATAATTTTTTATTGGGTTATTGTTTATGTTTGTGTCAATAAATGTTATTTCACTTTCTTGATATGTTATTAACCCTTTCAATCCTGAGAGTAATTTATCTTTACAGTATCACCCCAGAGACACACATTAGGTCTCAAGAGTAAAGGGAAACATCACCCACCAAAGAAGCTCTTGAATTTGTTTTTAACACTCCTTGTCAGCTTGATGTTGTATTGATATTGTATGGAGAAATTTTGTCTTTTTGATTACTCGTGGGGTTGAAAGGTCAAATTACCATGTTGGTTATTGTGTTTGCTTAGGATAAAGTGTCCTCTTCTCCCCCATCCTCCCCCTCTTCCCAATAGCTGAAACAGGGTACCTACAGATGTTTGGTTTTTGAGGTGTGTTTCCTGTATCTGTTTGTTTCAATAATACTGGTGAATTTTCATTGATACTCATAACATCTGGGGATGTAATTTGTTTTTTTCAGGCCACCAATTTACATTTGTATTGGTCTTATTGTTTCCAACAGGTGCAAAAAAGACTCAAGTATCTCAGGCAAACAAACTCAAAAGAGAGGAGCGATTGACTGAAATTGATGATCTTATGCAGAACAACAAAGAATTACAAGAGCAAATAATGCAGAAACTGGATGAAGCAAGATCATTGAATGCAACTGCAGAGGTTAGGTATTTCTTTTATTCACTTCTACTTGTCAGGTGTGGTATATACACAAGCCTCACTACTGGCCCACCCAGCCAGCGCTTAAACTGGTTTCCTCATCATGTAGTGACCAAGAGTTTCATTCCCCTTCTCCTGCCACTCTGCCAGTCTTTCCTAAGGTTCCCCCCCCCCAGGCATTTCACCAGACTTCACCAAAAACTTGCTGGTACCAATTTTTAATTCTGGGTGGAGAGAAGCATTGTGGAAGTAAAAGAAGAAGTAAAGTGTTTTGCCCACCTCTCGACCTGGAGTCTAGCACACTAGCCATCAGGTTACCATGTCTCCTCTTAGTCACTCTTTCATGTATAAGCCTACCATTACACCAACAACCTTTCATGGAATAAAATACTTGGGTAATAATAATGTGGTCTTGGCAACTTGTGGTTGATGTAGTTTACATTTTTGTCAGGATTCATCATCTGTTATATATCTTTTATCTCAGATAAATGAGCTTCAGTCTGACCTCAATAAGCTGCAGAGCCAACAAATTTCACTACAGATGGAACACAAAGAGTTGAAGAAAAAACAGCGACGATCAGAAAGATATTACACAAACAAACAGACCAAGGACTCTGGATCACAGGGCAACAGTGTTCAGGAAGAGGATGTGGACATGGTTGGTGATGTAACATTACAGGGTGACCTTTCAGCAGATGACCCCTCTGAAGAAGGTATTTGAAGTAAACCAAGAATATTGTATTTCCTCAAATAAGCGCCCAGGTGCTTTTAAGGAGAGGGGCCCCTAATTTAGGGGGTGTACTTGTTAAGAGATTGTTAAATTGAAGCTCGAAAAGTTATAACGAGTGATTGAAGAAATGTATTTATAATCATATGCTAGGAGAATTAGGTTTAAAATTTTAAGTGTAAGTCTTTGATTTGTCAGGTCTTCATCCTGAGAATACAGAGGAGGAGACACAGGTTACAACGGTTGAACAGTCCAGGACAGTGACAGTACCAGAAGCTGTGGTCACCCAGATATTACCACCAGCTACAGGTAGAACTTATGAGCAGATTTTCTTGTGAAATTGCATTTGTAATCTTGAAGGAAATGTGCTCTGATTGGCCAAGGATGGTGTCACATGTACCATTGTCACCAATGGAGAGGTCATTCTAATGCATAAAAAAATGGTCCCAGATCAAAGTAGACCAATAATCTAAGTCACCTTCACAATCTTGGAAAGCAAAAAACATTGTAGCATAGGACATGTATGTTCTTCTGCCTGCATACAACTATCATGGTACTCATTGATTTTTCTTGTGGAAGGTATCCCAACAACATCAAGCAGTGCTACAATCAATCTTCCTCAGCGTCAAGAAGCACTGAACCCAGAGGAGGAGTCGTCAGTAAGGGCTTTGTACACTGCTTTTATGCCACAGCACCTACAGGTAAAAACCCATGTAAGGCGTGTTGTGATTGAAATAATTTTCTTCTGTTTGATTATTTCAAACAGATCAAATTTTCTTTTCAATGTTTCAAATCAGTTATCATAATTCAACCTTGGATAAATTAGTGAGAAAAATTTTAGGGTTCATTTAAATAAAATCTTGAAGCTCAACACTCTAGCTTATTAAAGTTAGTTTTTGATTATTGTTAAAATTGCTGATGCTTGGACTACTCCACTCCTTGGACTACATGGGAAAATGAAAGGAGTTTGATATACCATAATCAAGATAGCTGGTAGTTAACGACTGAAAAAATGGGGTCTAATCAAGAGAAATTTGATTTTGTCTATGGAGTTCAAATTAGTCAAGTTAATGGGGTTTTCTGTAGTCTGAATCAGTAAAGAAAACAAAGATAACAAAGAATTTACCAGTAGAATTTTTATTGTTTTTTTGCCATTTTGTAATTACATTACATCAGTAGAAATAAAAGGAATTACCGGTATGTATATTTTAATATGATGAAACTGAAAATTAAACATGCGGTAAGGGAACTGGTAGAGGAACTAAGATGTCTATGTGGGCTACAGGCACCTCATATTTTGCAAAGTGAGCTGTAAGTTCTGTGGGATAATAAAGGTAGAATAATGTACCAAAAAGATAAACTTAATATGCAGGTACACTGTTTTTAAGGCATTCCTCCCCAAATGTTTGTTCCACAGACTGAAGTTGTCCAGCAAGTTCAACAGCAAGGGGAAGGGGGCCACATAATACCTGCATATCCATCTGCACTTGTCAGTGCTGCTGTGTCATCAGATCCCACGATCAATGCTTTACTGAGTCTTGGTGCTAAGGATAAGGTTCTGCTGCCAGGGATGTTGCCACCTGGTGTGTCTGTGGCTACAGTTCCAGTGACCACAGGTGTGGCTGTTGCAACAACAAGCATGACACCTAATATCACTGTGGTGATGCCTGGTCAGCCAATGACAGGCAATGTTCCTTGGTCCTAACCTGGCTGTGGCTAACAAGCTCTTCCAGCAAGAAGCTTAAAATGTATTTACAGCACTGGCTGTAAATGTATCTTAAAATAGTGACTTGAAAAGTGACTAAATAACCAGCATGTGATTTTGTAAGTAGTGTGCAACATGTTTCAGTACCCCCTAACATGGGTGGGAGAAGTCAAACATTTCTTTTTCTGTGCAGTTGTTTTTAATCAAGTATAGGGAGGATTTGTTGCCTCCAGCCTCCTTACTTCTGATCAGCAGTTTCTCCCTGCCTACTCCTTAAAGGCAGGAGACTAATCCACCGTAAAGTACCCGTAGTTTTTGCCCAGGTACCCATGACAGTTACAATCAGCAGGTTATGGAACAGAACGGTATCTGTTCAATTTATATGCACTGTTCTCACAGGAAACTGTGCAGCTCTAGATAATAGGTTGATGATAAGATGTTGAATGGTGTAGTTTTTTGTTTGTTTGTTTGTTTTTTTTACCAGCCGGTTACCTTTGTACAGTTTAGTGTTAGTGGTCAGGTTGGAAAAATTCTAAAAAAATTGATGGTTGACAAAAAGGGGGCCAGTTCCAGGTATAAGTAGTTAGTGAGATGGTGATTAGATATAGCTGTTTTGACAAGAAAACATATTCTGAAGTAACTTTGACAATGTCATTTGATTTATGGCAAATAAAAGTTGTGATGGACCTAGTCTTTAATGTTATCTTTAGTATTTGATTGTTTAGGTTGATTTTCTTGGAAAGAGCAGAGAGAGATTTCCATGTTCTTCCATACTTTATTATGCAAACAGTTTTTTGAGAAACAAAACAATGGCAAAAACAATTGAATGCATTTGGGACAAATGCCTTACAATAAGGTTATACCTACTAATGAGGTTATACGGAAAGTTTTCCGAGAACAGTCCTCTAAAGAGTGGCTGGCATCTATATTGTGATTTCCCCTTACAATATCGCTTACCATATTAAGGTCACAAGAAAGAAGGAAATCATCATTAAATAAAGAAGTTCTTGATTATTTAACAAATTCTCCTTGTAGGATCTGAGCAAATGTGTAGAGAACAGTATGGAGAAAAAGGATACTGATGTTAGGGTGTAAAGGGTGAAAGGATTGTCAGTTGTGATAGACATTACGACAACCTCGTGAATATATATATTCAGGGTCAGCCAGAGCATTGTGTCTGCTGAAGTTCAGTCTGCTGTATGTCTGTAGAAGTCTGGGTCTCTTTTGTTATGAATATTTTTAAGAGGCAACAGCCCATTTCAATCAACAATCACTTACTCGATACTTAATTTACTAATCTTTTAACGTGAAGAAGCTGAAAATTTCTTAGAAAGCAGAGAAAAAGGCCTTTATGAGCAAGACAGGAAGAATAGTTACAAATAGACGACGAGACAAAAACTTACCAAAGGTTGCGGGAGATACTCAAACACATGCCGGAAGGGGATTTAGATTGAAGCTAAAATAAATTAAAGCACTCAGCGTGATACAGGAAATATATAATAGGGCGGTATAATTTAAATAAAGCGCGAAATTAAAAAAATATGTCAAAAAAAAAAACAACAAAAAAACCGGAAGAACCATTAAAAAACGTTACCTGTGTTATCGACGTGACTTAAACTTCCAAAGCTTGGTCGCCCAGATTCCCCCAGGTCGTTCAGTCCGGGTCGCTCGCGGTCACTTCTTTCTGGGTGCCTGCTTGTGATTTAAGGGAGTTCGTTCGACTTCGGGTGGTTCCTTTGCTGCACCGCCTGTAATATAAGCTTCACTTCAGTGCCCAAGTTAACAAATTCATCCCGAAATTCAGCTTAAAAGATAAATTTTGAATACTAGTCGTTCTCCAAATTCTGTGGTTATTCAGCCATGACATGTAAAGGAAGATCAGTCGAATGTAAAAAGCGCGCTGCTTCCACGAAGACTTTTTTTGGATCTCAATTCTGAAGGAACATCGAACCTTTTCCATTCTTTTGTTTATCTAACATTCAAACGAACTAAACTGTCTCAAAACTAGCTTCTTCAAGAGAAGTTCAGAACGCCCAGAGGGACATGATTTAATGAGGCTATGTTACCCAAATGCAGTGAACAAGAGTGTTAACGTGACAATTAAATTATAGTTAAAAAAAAAGAAAAATACTAAAATTATACAAGCAGTAACTGACACAACTCAAACATTAGAAAATTCAGACAAAAACGAAGTGAAATATAATAAACGAGCGAACAAACGGAATTCAGCTGCGCAGTATAAAAGTGAACTCCCTTGAAAAATTTTTGTGGGGAAAACTATAACTTGCCACCTCTCTTGATAAATTTAAAAAAGTCTTTCTTTGTAAATGATTTGCCAGGATTGCCTGTGTAATTTTTTTTTATATTTTAACTTATTGATAAGATTTATTGAGGTCATTGAGTTCTTTTTTCCAAAAGAAACGTCATCGGGACACAATTTCTGTAGCTTGAAATATATCAACTAATTCTTTTGGCGTATGGTACAAAATATGACAACAAACAATATATCTTTTTCAAAGTTTAAAGGTAAACCGCTTTTCAAATATCAGCGCATAAGCACGTTGCTTGCTCCAGACACGCATTGATAGCGTGCGTTGAGCTGATATAAATTTGTAGCGTCACTCACGTCTAGGGTAAAAAGGTCAGCTGGGAGGAACTTCGATGATCCACAATTTCTTGCAAAACAACTTATTACGGTTATTAGAAGCATCAAAAACCAGACAGATGTTTTCAGATTGAATTCCGCAGATGAAATTAAAAATAGTTTTTTGACAAAGTGGGAACGCCGGTACTGCAAAATTAAAATTGAATTATTCTTTAGAATTGACGAACTCAACTGGTCTGTTTGCACAGTTGTGGATTTACAAGGTGTGTCTGGGAATGATATAGAGAACCGAATATCTCAGCATTCCTGTATTTGCTTATCGCGAAATTTTGATGTTAATGATACACCTTTGTAACCTTCATAACACTGCAGATGGATGTATTTAAATGTGATACTTTAATATATCAAGTTTCACTCAAAATGAGGACATTTCAAAGATTCCGTGTCCTGAGAAAGGGTTACCGCAATTGTGCATAATTCAGTGAAAAGCTTGAATGTCATGTTTTGCAATAGCTTGCCATTGAGGGTAAGCTATAATAAGGCTCATAACTGTCTCATGAAGTAAAAATTATGGTCTATTTCATACGGTTGGATCATAACAGCAAGACTGATTTATAATACCTTTAAGCCACTATAATGCACAGAGGCTATTGAAAAAAGATTATCTCCCTCAGTGATATCTTAAACACGAAGTTGTTACGTCATCAGAGGTATGATAAACCCAAATTTCCGAATTTCACAATTCTGTGACACCAATGAGTGGTTAAAAATAGGTTAAAATTAATTATCTATTTTAAGTTCATTAATACAATAATTTTCATACCAAAGCCTTCATTCTATGGAATTTCCTCCTCACTTTTCATTGATATTTTTCAAAAAAATTAACATCAGTTGGTGAAGGTAATCTTTGCAATCTGTTCACCCTATACCCAGTATGGTGATCAAAAGCCGCAAATATAATGAACAGCTTTGTGGAGGGTGGGTTCAAGACAAGTCACGTCGGTACCTCAAATTAATTCCTTCAGTTGATGAGCCATCCGCCCATACTCTAATCTTACCTTTTTGGTTCATTTCTCACTTATCAAATGAATTATACTTTTCGTACGGTTGCGGTTAAAATAAATCCGTGGGCTAACAGACCCATTTCCCATTCGCAAGTGGTTCAAAAACAAGAACAGACCCTTTGCAAAACGTAATTAAAAGTATTCATAACATTTTAAAATTCATGGTCATGTTATTCTACATCATAACCAGAAATAAGCACTGTAATAACACCTGCAATATCAAAGCTCAGTTGTTAATTTACTTTCGTTTTCACGAAGTTTCTGATTTTGCTATGTGAAAACGTGTCGTGTTTTGGTGTGATTTTTAACATGCGGCCAAAATAGTAGGCTCATGAAGACACTGATGTGAACATTTTTTGCGTAGGACATGATCGTACTAATTTTATTCATACACGCAGTTTGAGACTTTTGACCTGATACTTTAAAGATAGACGACCCACAACAGTGGGATAGTGTATATTTTTTCCTTTAAATAAGCCCACATCGAGATCGTGCACGTCAGAAAAAGGACAAAGTCTACCATGATTATCTATCTGCGAAAGCTGGGCGAGCTTCAATTTGTGGAAATAAGATACAACTTGGGGTATGCAAATTCAATTTCCCGTAGGTAAATGAAAAGTAGACGATAAAGCATTTAATTAAACTGCATGTTTAAGAACTGCTAAAAAAAGTTACCCACACATAGAATGGTATTTGACGGGCACAACAATTCCTGCGTTCATAAACCCCCTGATTAAAAACAAACGAGCGGAAATGGGGCACTGCGTAAATATTCCCAGCCACAAAAATATGTTTCCCCGGTGAATATTTTTTCTTACGGGCACATGTGCAGAATTGGAATATCAAGTAGAAAAAGGGACCATGCTCTCTTGCCTGGAACTTTTCAATCACTGAAAGAAGAAAAAAAATACATCTTTCCCTCAGGACTATAATTTCGTCTGGGAATGTGAAAAATCCATCCTGTAATGACTCGAATTCCTTTTTAAGTCCAAAAACCTTCTTACGTGTTGTTATGACTTAAAATTCCATCAAGTAATTTGATGTTGAAAAATTGCCAAGGCCCTCTTCAATTGTTATTGAGACGGCAGGTGAGGTGCATCACTCACTCCTTGAACAAACATTGGTAATATGTAACGCCATCGCCGATATCCTATTACCGCTTAAAACTCTTCGTGTCCCCTTACAAATTGTTTTTTTAACAATACGTCCTTGTAACTAAACATTTGTTATTCAATGATCATGGCATGCTTTTATTGTGGCGGCCCATTCTGTGGTCTGAATTATTTTGGAGAAGTGGAAGTGAAACGTGGTCCTTAAACTTCAAATGTGGGCTGCAGCCTTGTAGAATTTCAGACCATGCAAGGAATCTTACCTTGTATCAATGAACTTTTGACCGCTAAGTGGTTGGCGGATTACGTTATACATTATTACGCCCACCTAAGCCGGACAGTTAGTCAATTAAGTACGAAAACTGATCTCCACGATTTGTCTTTAAAAAGAGATCCCTTGTTCATTGAACACTCAGTTTTAGAAGAGGAACTCAACACACGAGAGACTCAAGGTAACTTGCTCCGGAGGGATCCAAGATTGAAGACATGGCCAACTTTCAAGTTTTTCTTATGACTATTGTGGCGTGCACTGTGATACTCCAGGCCAAAGGCCTTGATCTGTACCGCAGAAGATTTTATGGTGAGTTCAGTTGTTATACCTATAGTTGTTAAAGTGACGCGAAAAAAATGGTCGTCAGCTTCTGCAGCTGGAGTTTAGAGTCATTTTCTTGTATCGGAAAATCTACTGTCATGTAAAGGTGATGTGATCAGTTGGTCAATTGCTGTCATCTGTTAGCTTGGTAATGTATTGATTATCCCTTTCATTGATTCTCCTCGCGGTCTTTGTCGTTCACAGACGTGCCAATGAGAAGGTATGATGCGCGCGATCTCTATGGTAAGTACGCTGGTGGCTTATGTATCTACAAGAAGTTGTTCAGTGAGACTGGTTAACTCCTGTCATCTGTTATCGCATAAAATGTATCTCATAGCATCTTGTTCTCTCATAACCAACTTGTTCTCTGTCGTTTTCAGACGCGCCTTTGAGAACAGATGATGCGATAGACCTTTATGGTGAGTGGCTATGTGTATTTAGTCGTTCAGGGAGAGTTTTAACAGCACTGGGAAACAGAAAATTCAGAGACAACTCCTCTGTTGTCTACTCCGCATTCTCGATATCTTCTACAGTTTTTTTTCCTTTAATTCGCACTGTTGATCAAAAAGAAATTTCTCTGAGATTTCGATGCATTCTTATGCCAAAAAGGAACGAGAACAGCGAAAATCATAAACTAGGGAATATTTTTAGATTTGTTAGCAAAGTCTCGATGCTAAAATTGGCAGACAGGGCTGAAAATCGATGTTAAGACCAAGTATGAGTGCAAGGATCGTTGGACCAAAAACCATTTGGTATACAAGTTTGCATGCTTCTTAAATGTTTAACTGAATTTGAATTCTTTCATCTGTTAATTATAACAAAGAACACCTCCTTTAGTATAAAAGTTCGCGTATAGATTGAAAACAAACTCTAAGCCTTGTCCGCCACTTGTTTTGATCACGTTTTAGTGTGATACATGATCTGTAACTGCACGATTTCTATAAAATATGCAATGCGTTCCCGACATACATTGCACTCGTTTTGACGGTAAAGAACTAGGACACGAAAGTTTAAAGCATTTTTGCATGATGTAATAACTACAAATTGAACTTTAGGTGAAGTTCGTTTTAAGTGTTGTAGCTCCAAACCCAGCGTGAGCAAAACAACCGACCAGAACAAAGGAGAATGACACAAAACCCAATCGGAACTCAAAAGAAGAACAAAAAAAAAACTGCCTTAAGCGCGTGAATTCGTTCTGATTGGTTGCTAGTTTGGCGCGAGTTTCCAGAGCAATTGGCGGGGCTGATTCGGGAAATGACCCGCCAAAGTCCCTCTCGGGAGGAGCCAAGACCGGACCCAAGAAAATGGCGGAAATCGAGAACCTCAGTGCAGTTGCAGACAAACTTCCTATTCGTGGCACTTTTTCACAGCTAATCTTCCAAATACCATTACGGGATATGTTATTCCTTCCTTAAAATACTACTAATATTACCTTTTGTTCATTGATAATTTGGTAATGTTTGGTCAAGTTACTTGTTCAACTTTTTCAGAGAGCAAACCTTCTAAGTGAAGAATTCCCTCTTTAGTTAGATAACGCTAACAAGATGCAAAAAACGTGGTCTTTTTCGGAGTCTTGTTCGCGGCATCCCACCAAACGGCTGCAAAGAAAGCCACACTAACGGGGCTTAAGGCGCGACTCTGGTTGTTAGAACAATACCCTTCGCAGATAGAGCACTTGATAACAAATCTTTCATAATTATCTACAGAGAGAGAGACTACGGCATGTGTGGATAAGAACCCTGGCTATTGCGGAATGTTTCGTAGAATGTGCATAATAACCAACAATGATAAATTTGTGAACGTGAAAAATCGCGAAAGATTCGTGTACGATGTATGCCCGCGAACTTGTGGAGAGTGTGGGAAGAAATAAAAGGGTGAGTAGAAGATCTCATTTCACAATTCATCCCTTTACAACCTGACATCATTATGCATATTCTCCATACTTTTCTCTCTACATTTCCCAAGGTGCTGCTAAGGGGAATCTCCTTAACAATCCAGAGCTTCTTTAGTCCAAATTTAGATCTTTATTCTCATGACCTTAATGTTTGATTCCGGAGTGATACTGTTGCGAGAAATTCGATGCTTATCACTCTTGGGGGTTTTGCGTGTTACATGGTATTCTCTGGGGTTTTGCCGTCGGTTTTTAACTATGTCTGAGAATAAAACCCGTAAGCATGATTGCAAACCAAAAGTGCAATAAGCGATAGTTGCGTACTCGTGACCTAATATGGTGACAGAGTGTTAACTTGAGGATCGTGCATGTGTGCCAAACAGAATTGGTGGCATCAAATTGGGGGATCAAGTTTCTGAAGACAATTTGGTTCCATCAACTGAGTTGATAATGTAAATTGGCCAAAATGAAGAGTTTCAAAGGTGACATTTTGAACGTTAACCCATCGTCAGAGATGGATAACGCTCGAAACGTCAGCTTTGGACACTTTGGCCAACTTATATTATCCACTCAGTTGATAAAACTAATTTATTTGACATACATATTTGCTAGTAAACTAATTGGTAATTACCATCACTTTCTTCCTCCTCTGACTGTCATCATTTGCTTCATTGTATGCATATTAGCTAATTTTGTGATTGCTACACTAAGTTGTTTTGTTGCCCCTTTCCTTCTTCTCGACTCCCAGCTCTAATTTTTTTCTTTTGTTTTTCGAACAGAATACATGAAGAGTGGACAGATCGAGATAACGCTAGCTTTTCTTCGCAATTTGAAACAGAGAATTAAACTTTGTATCACTTATTAAATCTGCGACAATTTTTTTGACATAATAAACCAAACTATAAGAAAATTGAATATACTCGTTCTATGAGAGTTCTACTAATGACTGAAAATTGTATAGCGTTTTTATATACACATAGACTGCGGGTTTGTGGATATTTTAAGGCAACATCAACGTATTTTTTCATGAGAAAAACTCAACCGGTATGCCAGTGACCTCTATGTAATATTCTGGTGTGCTAAGTTCTGGAGCAACAAGGTAGCTCTAGACAACGAATCGTTAATTCTTTTGATGCATCATCACCCTTTCAGTTTCTGATTACTAAAAATGATTCAATTCCTTAGACCCAGGTTCTTTTTGTCTTCGACAAAAAATCAATACGAGGAACTTCAAAAAAAGATGTAATATACTTAGATTTTAATGATTTTTAGAATTCCCTCTGTTCCATAAACGTCATATTGTGACCTCGCAGAGGTAGGAACCATTTTAAAAAGAGAAAACAACGATGTTGTCATGGTACCCAGATAATTCAACATGGCGCCTTTACTTTTCATGAGACCAAACTCAACTTTCCTCTCAGATAAAAGTATTTTTTAAAGAGAACTCGTTTTTATTTTATGCTGGAAGGTTAAAGCTTACTTTACATGCGAGTGATAGCTGCATTCGGCACGGTTTTGTTGAAAGGTGTGTCGTCAAATCTTTCTTTCGTTTCAGCATCCTACTACTATACATAACAGAAAGAACGTTAATTATCTCCTTGTGCAAACGATTTATCTTCTCGTGAGAGATAACATCGACTTCTCAGAAAAAGCTTTCTATACATGCACAGCCACTTCATATCTTCTGTTTTTCAAATCGTCGGCATTGATGAGTCAGTGTAACTTCCAAAACCTGTGCCTGATACCAGCAGAACTTACCGAGTTAGACTAAAAAAATTTCCTTGTCCGAAAATTTTGCTAAATAGCCGTTGGAAAACCATTAGCTGGTAACAACTTCCAAAAATAAACCAAATGATAATAATAATAATAATAATAATAATGATAATAATAATAATAACGATAATAAAATAATTAAAAGTTCAATTTACTACCGCTGACAAAAAAGAAATAGGGCGTCTAATAAAAGTAACTCGAGCTCAACTTTATGTATATTTTTTCATTTACAATGTTCAGAAAAAAACTCCACGATGAAAATATAGCATTTTAAATACATCTTTATTTGCACTATGAAATCAGTCTAGCTGACTTCATTGATACATTAAACGACAAGACAGTTGTTTTGTTTTGTTCGATGGCAATGGACACACCCTAAAGTTTACGTTCGTTAGTGCTGTTCCAAATGTTAGCGTTATAAAACTCTTCCCGTGAGGGAAACCGCACCTCTCTAATTGTATATCTGAGACCGGAGAACGACACATTATGTCAAGGAATTATTTAATTATGGCAATAGAAAGATCATGTTTGGTCTGACCATACTGCAATGATGTTGAACTTTCTTCGAATCGATCTGGAGGAATGTACATACAAAACATCGGGAATTCTTGCCATAACTCTTTCGCACTCTGACCATTACAGCAACAATATGTCGGCCAAGAACACTCTTTTCTTCTTCCATTAGCTCCTGACCGTAGCCCTGCTAAATGATTGTCTTGGCATGCCCATGATTGAAATTAATGCAGCTTTACTTGAAATAACTGCCACGCGAAACAAGTGGCAAGAAATCCTAAAAGAAGTGTCAATCTTTATTGTTGAACATCAGATTCAGGAAGAAAAACAACCATTTTAAGAACTTGCAGAATAACTTATTTTTATCGGCTTACATAAGCTTACCCTTGGGTATAAGCACAACATTTTTGATGTTTCTAAATGAATCGAAAAGCAGCTTCGTTTCGCGGAAGCTTCTGCAGTCACATAAACATTAATGAGATATTTGTCAACGAAAAATGGCCATATTTTTTCCTGCAAAGGAGAACTTTTTACAAGACAAAAAAATCACTGTAAATTGAAATCTTCTGGGAGAAAACCTACACTCGTAGTTGCAGTGGCTTGGAGCATTTTCCAAGAGAGTATCGTGAGTGATCCTGGACTACTTTGGGTTTGCTTTACTTCGCCTTTTGATTGGTCCAGAAAACTTGTCCCACCCTCTCAACCAATTAAATGCAAAAGTAAAACAAATCCAAACTTTGCCACTGGTGTTTTCCCACGCATAAAGCAGGTCGCTGAGTTCTCATTGGTTAATGATGATGCTACTCTTTTTTTATTGGTAGTTGTGATCACCTTGGTTTTGGTTTTATGACTCTCAATTGAAAACGGCTTTAAATGGAGTTGTTTTGACCAATAGTGATACCTCGCAGACGCAAATTCTTTCTAATAGAGCGAAACAAACTCACAGCAGCGAGATACGATAAAAAGTTATTCTCATGTTCTATACTCTAAGTGACTTCAAATAAATTCTAGGAGGGAGAAAACCAATCGTTTGAATTGTAGTAATAAACACAAATAGATTTCTATAAATGAAATATTTTAAGACTCTTTACATTTTGTTAAGTGAAGCACAGTCTTTCAATCTCTATTCCAAACTCTTCACCGCTGTCTCCAATGTCGTAAGCTGCTATGTCCACAATGGGAAGGCGGTGTGGTTTGGGGGTGTCCACTTCTAGTACCGTGTGGTGCCACTTTCCATCTTTGACCTGAAAATATCCTCATAAACGAGCAAAAAAAATCAATAACCTACAAATTAAGCAAAATATTTATCACTGCTCCGAGTGATGGGATTTGTAAGATCGTGATTTGCTATAACCTACAAATTAAGCAAAATATTTATCACTGCTCCGAGTGATGGGATTTGTAAGATCGTGATTTGCTATTTAGTATTGAGATCTGTGTCCTAGTGAACAGCTCTCAGGTCTAATAAATTAACCATCTCCTGGTGCTATGAACGAGATATCTTGTGACAGGATCTGACGAAGGATTATAGAGAAGTGAAAAGGACCAAGGACCCAAGGTTCCTTTTTTTTCGTTGCCATTAACGATATTTTAAGCCCCAACAATGAAGCGCTCGATAAAGTCATCGAAACTGATTTTATAGTTTACATGTAAGCGCAATGAGACTTGAAACGCGCACATAAAAACATTATTATTGTTGTTGTTATTACTATCATTATTGCTATTATTACTATTATCATTGCTATTATTATTATAATCGTTATTTTTGTCAATCTAGCTGCTTACCGCACAATCATCCATGATGACCTTGGGCTTAAACTTATTTGAAGACTCCGCGTGCATTTCAACTCCATTGTCAGCCTTAATCTTGACAGATTTGGAAAATTCGTTTTTCTCATCGCTCCAGGCCACCGAGTCTTTACAATTGTATACGATCCTCTGCCTGGCGCGGTCACTCAGCAAGCGGAGAAATTCTAGTTGGCTTGGTTCGCTGACATATTCAATCTACAGAAAAATTAAATCAGGAGTTTCAGTGTTAATGAAGACTGTAATAAAATTCTAGAACGTGATCGGCTATCACCATACTCGCGATTTCCTAAAATCTCAAATTCGCAATCATCCGATTTTGTTAATCACTCGAATGTTTTCAGACCGAATTGGACGCCATTTGGTCCTATTACTGTTTAAAAAAAGCACTTTTTAATATTTAATCATAAAGATATTTTTAAAATCATTATTTGTTTTCGTAACATAAACAAAAAGTAGCATGGCTTTTGCAGAAATCTATGTACAGGTTCGTCTAAAAAGTTGAGGCTTACAGCATAAGTTACCATTAATTATAAAATCATTATTATCTCCCATAACATTCAATCAAAGCAGAATAATAATCTCGTACCCAGATCTTACCGTATAACTGTAACCGCTTGGCCGTGAAAGGTCTGGGTACGAGACAAGGAGAATAATTGTGTTGTATGATCCTCTCCGGGTGAGAATAGACATGAGAAAGACTGTTGTCTGTGGTAATAGTTTGCTCTGGGCGTTCAGTTAGAAAAACGAAGCTCGATTGTAACCTGAAGGGCGCGATATTTGCAGAGGAAGCTTGGGACGAGTCGGTCACTACTTCGCCCCGTTATACTAACCGAACGCCTTTAACAGGTCACTGTAGTCGTGACTGACGTTTCGAAAACCAAAAGGAATGCTATCAGCAGAGTCAAGCGAAAACGTCAAAAAATGAATCGTAAAGCTCTGGCTCCGGCACATAGGAGTTAGCAATATTGTGATTAAGAACAAAATATCATAGGAAAAGAAAAACGAGTTTTCTTTCCTCTTTGCAGCTCTCTCAGACTGCAAAACACTACCTACATTTTTAAGCATGCGCAGATCCTTTCCTAACCATTTGTAACCATCAGCACCAGTGAACCATTTCTTTTTTTCAGTTGTGAAGGTCTAAATAAAACACAGCAGTATAGTAAAGTAGCCAATTAGGAAAGAGGAACCTAGGGCCACGTGACAACTCGCAGCCAATCAGACTGTATATTGCTTTAAAAACAGTGAGTCAAGTACAAAAGAATATTTATGCTCCGAAACTGACCCATCGTTATTAACGTTTTCTAGTTTTAACACCGAGTGTTAGATCCGATATGGCTTATTGGAATTTC